AGCAGCTGTCACACAGTGGGCCTGGATGAGGCAAAAAAAGGCACTGATTGCATACTGTATATAAAAGCAAACTGCATTTAGACTTCAGTGAATAACAAATCTTAGGTTCCCAGAAGACAGCAAATACAAGGTGCATTGCTACACACTGAGAGCAGCTGATAGAAGGCTTCCAAGATTTTATGAGATAACTTTAAACTTACCATGTAATATGCCTTGATGATGTGAGAGTGAGTTGCTGCAGACATTTGCTCAATGCCACATGATTCTGCTGGGGATGCTTTGAGAGTGCCCCTGGTGGTGAGCACCAGCGTATGGCAGACACAATGTGCCTTGCTAGTAACAAACCACTGGCCCCAACAGTTCTCACAGCTGCCATCTTTCAGACAGATTCAAGACAGAAACATTCAATGATTCAAATGATATCACATGCCACAATGGCCCAACAAGGGAATGCTAATAGGTATTGATATCAGTCAGCTTTACTCATGTGTTCTCCTGCGCCCTGAAATGAAAATGCCCAATTAGCAACAAAACAAAAGTGAAAATAATTACACTTTAGGTTTCCTCTTGTAATACTAGAACACTGCTGTACCAGTAAACAATCTAACATAGTTGCATACCCAATAAGCATGATTTGATAACACAGTTGACTAAGAATAAAACAGACTATGGCAGAAAGCATTTTATACGTGCATTCGGTATCCGAATAATCAGGAATCATTTTCCAGGATCACCAGGATCATTCGGTGTTTTGAGCTGACACCGTTTACAATGGACACGAGAATGAGTAAGGTTAAGGTTGAGGAGCTAGATTAGACTTGGTCTATTTGGTGCTCATGTCCGGTAGGATGGTACATAGAAGGATCAACAGAAGACATATATAGGATTGATGACTAGGAATGGTGGGTGGTAGCGCCTACATCGGTCAAGTCTGTTCTTGAAGGCATTAGTAGAAGGAGCCGAAATGACATTATCATGGAGCTCATTCCAGGGGGAAATGACCCTGTTCAAGAAAAACTTGGCTCTGAAGTGATGGGCTGCTCTCTTCTTCTCAAGCTTCAAGTATTGTCCCCTGGTGCTTGTGTTGTCTTGAAGCTTCAAGTATTGTTTCCTGGTGCTTGTGTTGTCTTGAAGCTTGAACTGCTTTGCAGGGTCAATTTCTAGCTTGCTGGTAATAATCTTGTATGTTTCTATCAGGTCACCATGACTCATGAGCAGCCCTGTCCTTCTTCATTAGTCTGTCCTCATAGGATACATTTCTGATTTTTCAAATGAATTTGGTTGCTCTTCTCTGAACCTTCTCAAACTTAAGCATATCCTGGGCCATATGGGGTCCCACTGTTGGCAAACAGTAGTCCATATGAGGTCAAACATAGGTAGTACAGAGCATTGAAGTTTTCAGTAGTCAGTAGAGCTGAAGAGCCATTAGTTAGGCAAAAGCAATCTTAAAATGTGAATGTTGCATCAATGGTCCCCGCAATCCCAAATTATTACTGGTGATCCCTAATAACTATCCCTCATTTTCCCAATGCCGAACGCATGCTAAATGTGGCCTCGTTTCAATACCTAATAACTATCATGACCACTGGTGTAAGGGGGGCTTAGGCCGGTCCGGTAAGCCCTTCGTTACCTCCCCTCCGGATATCTACGTTACTCTACAGGAGCAGTGTTAGGCCGGGACGTCACCAGCCTTTACCCCGTCTGCCACACGGGCCACTGTCCTCTAATCTAATTGTACTAAACTATGCATCGTGGTTCAGGTGAATAACTCCGCCATTTTGGGGCACAACGCGGTTGGTAGCGCACCCTTCGTGGGTTTGGAGCTAAGCTCCTGAGCCAAGATGACTAACTAAGGCACTGAGTGAAACTCACTCCGCTCAATTCCCGTTCTCCTCCGACTCATCCCATCGCCAAAAGCATCTGGTCAATTCATACCCTTTTATATTATCAAAGCCGAACATTATGAAAGAACTGCTAGCGTGATTCATTTCAGAGACTGACGATAAACATTTTACCCTATCAATACCCTAAACGACAATCAACGCGCGAATCTACCTAAACCCTCCACCCCGGCGCTCCTAACCTAGCTAAGGGATGTCCGTGAGCCAGTGACAATCCCTGCGTGACAGGAACCTACCTCGAGCCAGTAGAGCCAGCAGCAGATGAGCAGTCGGGCACAGCGCAGCACAGCACTAAGGCAGGCAGACACTGAGCCCCGACTCCTCCTCACACTGTGCTTATGTACTGTCTCGAGGCGGAAACGCCCCAGTTAGTCGACCCGAGGCATGACCGACTAACCGTTGCACCTGGTTCCTACCACGCTGGCCTCCTTTATGCCCAACCAACAAAAACAGACGGTCGCTCGACGTTGGTAAAAAGACTACGCGATGGAACTTCACTACACAAAGACACAATACCATTTTAATAACAGGCGAATACGTAGCAGACTAATAATTTTGCGATTTCAATAACAAACCATTCAGTACACAATACTATTTCATTAACAGATGACTACGAAGCAGAATTACAAACCATTCAGTATACAATTGGGCGAATACATAGCAGAATAATAATTTTGCAATTTTAATTATAAACCATTGAGCATACAATACTATTTCATTAACAGGTGAATACGAAGCAGAATTATAAACCATTCAGTATACAATACCCTCCGAGCTCAGTGCTCACGATACTGTCCTACACTGGGAGGAGACTGCCAGTTAAAGTGGACTCCAAAGTTGAAGCTCATCAAGTTCTATTTGCACAAGTGGTTTACTAATATACCCATGTTTTTAGTTTACATTCATTGAGATGAAATTAACCAATTTGAAATGCAAAGCAAAACCTGAACCTGTGTTCCTAGGCATTTGCCCAGTGGATTTCGGCCATAGCATCACAAAAATGTCCGGCACGTTACCGTTGAAGACTCTTTATGCCTCTGCGTTGAAGCACCTTGAAGTTGAAGCAGTCATCTATATTGAAGTACCAAGTACCCAAGGCAATATAAACCCATACAACCCCCTATATATCAATATAGCCTTGCAACCCTTGCAACCCATACAACAAGCAAGCAAGTACCCATACAAGCGTTATTTAGAATAAATTAGTGTTCAGCATTTGGTGCACGTAATTACGTAAACCTTTTTTTCGAAAGTTCACCAATTGTATACACAATATATTTTTCTGCGAACCAAAGAAGGCACTATTGAACACACTATCGCCCGCCAGATATGAGCGGCCTGCGGTAGTTTTGTCTAAAACAAATCCTTCAATTTGCTACCATATCCAAGATTCCAAGAAATACCCAAATCCCCAAATCCACCGAAGCACATGTTAGCAGGGTGAGTAGTAAAGTAATCTTGAGCAGGGTATATTGCAAGTATTCTATGACCGTGGTATATTGAGTGAACATGTTAGCGCCTGATTAGTATCTTGATCTATGCGATCTATGACCGTGCGCCTGATAAATCTAGAGTGTGCGGAAGAGTGTCCGGGACCCGGGTGTTTAGTACTATACCGAAGCTACGCTATGGACTTTTTCGTGCAGAGGCGGATCCAGCTCAGAGTTTTTTTTGGGGGGGGCAAACCATAACAATTTATCGATTCTTTCCATGCATCGTCCATAGGCGTAATGTTGAAATTATGCCGTTTGGGGGGGGGGGGGGGGCAAATGCCCATTTTGCCCCCCGCCCCCCCCCCTGGATCCGCCACTGTTTTCGTGCAACTGATAACCCGTGGGCCCACTAATTTCCGTGCTATTCTGATTCGTGTGGTGCCGGCCGCGGTAACGTGCATGAAAAAGTGATCAAACTTGAACTTGGACCCGAATTGAAATGGTCGAGTCGCGGTACCGCGGTCCCCGTTGACGTTTATCGCGAGTCCAGGGCTTGAACACTGCCTTGGCTTGAATTATTGTCTCGACTGGTCTTACCTGGTCTCACCGTCTCAGACCCGACTGCATTCGGATTTGGTTTCAGCTTTCACGACATCAAGTAAGTTCAGACGGGGATACGCGGGAGCGGGACGGCCGGACGGGACCATGGGCGGGGAAGTCCAGGTGCGATTGGGGGGGGGGGGGGGGGTTAAAACCAGTGAGGCTCCCTCTCGTTTAATATCTTCAAAACCAAGAGCCTTACGTTAGCGAGGTGTACCAGTGATATCCGTTACCTATTATACTGTATGTCCATTGTCCGGGCCTCGTATCCCATTCCTCTCCCTTCCTACTGACTCTCCCCTCGCTACACGGCGCTCCTGAGTCCTTAGTCCTGACTTTCTGTATCTCCTCGACCTTTTCTTATTCTCGTGGCCCTCCTGCCTGCAACAAGAGTGGTCCGCCCCTCAGATATTTGCGGTTCAGGTCAGGAAGGTAGGATGGCTCCTCAGGTCTGGCTGCAGCCTGCATCTCCGCAAGTAACTGCCTCCATTGGGTTCACCTACCCAATGGTAGGAATGTAATGTATCTATGTAGTAGGTATCGAAATTAGGAAAGTCACGTTATGGAAAAGCACCGGTCATTGTGAGTGTTCAAGTGGAGGTTTCTCAAGGGCCCGATGTTCCTACCGGCTCAGCTCATAGGATGTTGAAAGCACATCACACATGTGAGCATGAACATCGAATATACGTTCATCCGTGCAGATTGCGTAATCATATGAACTCGGGTGGGCTGGATTAGATTTATGCTGAGCTGAGCAAAGACGCATCCAGTTGATTGTAGAATGTAGATTGTACCAATTTATATCACTGACGAGCTCAAAAGTTATTTTCCCCAAGGGATCGAAAATCGAAATTGTGTGTGATATTAGTGATTGGTCACGTCGGTGACTTTGCACACTGGATGTTGTGTTCGCTCTGTCGCCGAATGTTTAATTTTCATACCGGATGCTATTTGGTGCCATTCTGATGTAGGTACTTGCCTCCCCTCCTGTGAGCATCGAATATCGTCTGCGCATAATATTTCGAGTCAAATGGTTTGTCCGAATCGGCCGTAAACAACAAGTCACTTCAGACTATGACAAGCGTATATTGGCATTACATAACATCGGAACAAATGTGTTAAGCGTGGTGGCGGAACAGATGCATGATTTCATCCCCAGGCTGCTGTTGTCCGTGCAGGGTGACGTCAGGTGGGACGGTCTCTCGCATGGAGAACGGTGTTCCCTTGTGAGGTCTCTGAAAAGGAAGATAAGCAGCCATGAGTAAACATTTTTAACGTTTTTTTTTAACGACTGACGCAGTATGGAAGATGTTCGCTCCGACGATCTGGCTCAATATTTTGGATTATGTGTTCGCAGACGTGAGACATGAATTCATTTCAGAGGAATAGCGGTAGATGGTGTGTCAAAATTCACAATGCTTTATAGCACAGGCAAGATTGCTAGATAGCACAGGGAAGATAGCAAGATTGCTGCCAAGGGTTGTTTGGACTTCTAAAAACATTTCGGTAACATCCTACGGAGGCGAAGATCATAAACGAATGCCGAATCGGTCTCCACTCACGCTGGACGGCTCGGAGGTACATGAACCAGCCGTTGCCGGTGGTGGAAGTGTCCGTGTGGTACTGGAGCAGAATCTTGCTGGTTGTCGTCACTCGATTGGCCATTCGGCCGGACTGAAATAGGTCGGGCTTCGTCAGACGAGCGGGTCGGGAATGCACTCGGAGATCGGTCTCAGTGAGAGAAACACAAAGACAGGCTTCCTCCCGCCGCTTCTGAATGTCGTTTGTTTTTGTAACTGTCTATCTGCCTGTCAGCCTGTCGGCCAGTCCGTCCCTTCCGTCCGTCTCCCTCCATCTGGCTCTCCCCATCCTCCCTCGATAGTGCGCGCCTGTCACCTCACCTCTCCGCACATGGTGGTCATCAGGGTGCGCGTGCCACTATCGGAGACAGAGTACATGGCCAGGTAGGTACTGTTGCAGCCGCCCAGCGATGACGAAAAGTCTACCCCTGTGGGAGAAGTAGACAGCCTGTCAAAGGTATGTGAAGCTACATGTGCGTCCGACTGGACCGACAGATACAAGCTCGGAATAAGCTATATATTAGCGGGAGGTGTCGTATAAAGCAGCATGCATATTGCATAGCGCGTCTGGCTCGGCAGTCGGCATAATGAGACGTGTCTACAACAAGAATTGAATGTCTTATCAATGAAGCAGCAACATCGTGTTCTTTTTACGGAGCGAGCGAAGCGAGCGGAGTCTTTCCTTAGATTAACGGAAATTTCTGAGTATGAGCGGCCGGCCGGCCGTGCGGACGCTTTTGCGAGGCTTATATCTCAGCAACCACTTGACCGATTTACACGCGGTAATTTTTGTAGGGTAGCTTCATTCCTTCTACCAAGTATTGGACTATTCCCGATGCTGGATGCATGTGGGTGACCCCTTATGCACGTGCCACGTGCAAAACGAAGAGGTGTCAGTTTTGTAATTGTTGCAATATCTCGGTAACTACTTGGCCGATTGCGCTGAAAGTTGGCATGTAGGTAGGCACCCACTAGGCACTGCATATCCATGTGTCAGAGTTGGGGTGCTGCTGCACGTGCGCACGTGCAGGGGTCGTTTCCAGATCTCGAGAACGGCTGGACCGATGGCGCTCAAATTTGGTACATGGTTAGGGACCGGTTAGTAGGGTGCCGTGCACAAGTCAGTCGGGACTCATTTTGCACGTGCGCACGTGCAGGGTGTCGCTTTCATATCTCGAGAACGGCTGGGCCGATTGTGCTCAAATTTGGCACATCGCTAGAGACCGGTTAGTAGGGTGCCGTGCACAAGTCAGTTGGAGGTACCCCCTCGCAATTTCGCACGTGCAAGGCCCACCCTCTCGCTCGCTCCGTTAGTCGCCCCAAAAGGCGTTATACTGGTGATTATAATCTCCTTTTCGATAATGGGGTTGACGTAGCGAAGTTACGACATTTTCTCGACAACCGTTAAAACGTACAGATTCAACAAGAGCCTGTTTGGGCACATCTGTTTTACATTAGTTCCATCAGCCTGCGTCTGCATTCACAAGCATACCGTTGGCGAATGAGATGCCGATCTTGTACGGGCTGGGCACTGAGAAGGTCCACTCGCAGACACTGTCACGAGAGTAGTTGCCCGGGTAGCCGGGACTGAACAGATGCACGTGCATTCCGTGGTAGGTGCCTCCGCAGTGAGCCCCTGTAGGACGAAAGGCTGATATTGATGCGTGTTCTAGATAATGCCGCTCTTCTCCATGAAACGTAGATGTGTCGCATACATACGATTGGCAACAAACGGAGAAGTTGGGGCTTCTGTCATTAACGTTTGCAAGAGGAAGTGGAGATGATTTCTGAATAAATAGGTTGACAGAAGTTCAAAGGACGTATTTTATCCATTCAAGTATAAACATTGATTGTAACTTTGGAGGCCTGACATGGCACAAGCTAGGTTATATCGTCTCGGTATAAGCTTTTTCGTCATTCAATTACGGTAGACGTTTAAATAAGTGGCAGACATTTATGTACCAAAGTTCATCTTTTAATATCATACCTATTGTAATACCGATGGTAATTGACTGTAATTCAATCGGCACTCCAAGTACACAATCACAGGTTGACAGTTCGGCGTACCGACTTCCGAAATGAAGTAGTTGGCGAGTAGCCGGTAGGTTTCGGCGGCCTCGACCCGCAGCGTCAGGTGGTTTCCGGTGGAGATGACGCCCATCTTCTGGTAGATGTTGCCGCACTCCTCCGCCAGCAGAGGGGAGCTGCTGGAGCTGCCGTCCAAAAACTGAAATCACACGGTCCGTGTATGGCTTTAGCAAGTTTTCATTTACATTTGGGACAAAATAAATCATGCCAGTTGGTCTCTTGTGACCGTCCGAGTCGATACTTCTGCGCAACTGTTTAGCCCTTCACCATTGAATGAGATGCATGGAAATATTGAACAAAACCTCACTCCTCTTCAAGTTGGACATACACTGTATTCTATTTTTATTTAAATTCAGTCGGCCAGTGGCTATTTGACCAACAGTCCTCATCTCCGAGTCCACTCCCCCTCCCTCTGCGGCAGCGCGCGACTGACCTTGGCCCGGAGCCGGCCACAGTTGCCTCCCGCGATGTTCCGCTGTGTGGACTGCACGGAGGTCGAGTACACCACGGCTGTGATGACGGTGCCGGCGGGCGCGTCCACGCGCTGCTGGCATACGGACGTGCCCGTGCCCGAGCTCTCCCAGGCGGATACCAGGGTACCGTAGGGCGCCGACACCGACCGGTTACACGCTGTGGAGGGTTAGCGTCAGGGATGGAGCATTATGCAATAATGCAAGGCGTGTAAACGCTTCCCTTAAAATCAGTCTTATGACGATTCGGAATTATTTCCTATGAGCTATTGTGCCGCATTATTTTTACTTTGCGCCGGTCAATAGCCGGTCAGTGTAAGTTCTGAAGCCCCGCGGTATTTAGTTATGTCCCTAAGATGGAAAAAAGTTCACTCGAGTAACCGTCAATATTCCCACTCAACCTATTTGCGTTGAAACGTCCGTGAGAGATCTCTGCTGTAGTTATGCGCAGCTTTCTGAGCCGGTCAACAGATGGTGCTGCGGTCGTTACGCCTGTGCGATGCTGTACCGCAGTACACGGCCTCCCGAGACGGCCGACAGATAACTCCTCGGTCGACTACCAGCGGCTTTTGAATTGTACTGTTCGTCCAAATGCTCCTGTGATTTAGTGGCAAGCCTTCTTGCATCACTGTAACCGTAGTTGTCGCAGGCTTATACACGGGTGCCCATGCAAATTCCAAAGCACCGTCATGCTTCTGCATGAAAAGCAAACAAATCCAGCAGGTTTTACCCGCACGTATCAAAATATTTAGTTCAGGTAGGTACTATTCAGGTGAAGCCTTAGCACTGGGTTGCATTTTTTATGCTTCAACCAGACCTAACCGTTTCCAAATTCTACCTCGGCTGCCAGCCACTCCTCTACCGTGCTCTCCGTTTGACTCCTAGCCATGCTCCACTCCGCTGATACCGCGGTATTCACTCACGAGCGAGGGAGTACTGGACCCTGAAGCCGGCCATCTGCGTGTCGGCGTCCGAGGTGAACTGAAGCCGCAGCCCGCCGCGCGTGGTGTAGATGTCGGCCGGTACTGTCGAACCGCAATACGTGCTGTCCACGTACCAGTGGTTGTGCTGTCGGCGCCGCGGGGAACGGCCGAGGGGTGTCATGGTTAGGCCGGCGTGGGGTGGTACAGGGTCGGGATGGGATGATGTAGTGATTCGATAGACGACACAAAGGAAAGTAGTCAATGAAACTGCATAAGCAACGGCGCTGAGGTAACCGGGTGCATGGAAATAGTTTTCGCTAAACTCAAACGGTATTTATTTCTTATTCCATCGCGAATTGAATGGCGCTGGTCCTCCGTTATCTCCATGACCAGTCATTTACTAGGAGTTTGAAGATGTTGTATTTATGAAGGCAAGTAGATATCGTCCCAAAATGTAAATGAGAAAATGGACTTACCCATATAGGTGCGTCTCCATATGTGGTTCTCTCCGACAGCATCTAGGGAAGTAAACAAAAAGGTCACGCAATAAAAAAGCACCATATTTACCCTGCGTTCGATGTCTCTCGGACGACGAAGATTCTACGTCGTCCGAGAGATATCGAACGCGGGGCTAGATTTAATACGGTTCCGTTCTTCAACTAACATACCTGTAAGCTCTTCGATTGTACCGGATTCGGCATAAATGTTCCCGTGTTGACAATGGTAATCTAATGAATCTCCCAACTGACTATGCAGCTGCCAGGGCTCTCGATGTTGTCGTTACTTTGGCCACAAAGCTGTGACGCCCTAGCGTCCAACCTCTGCCGTCAGCTATTGTTCACCAAGTGCACGGAACGTTTTACCGTCCGCCCCGCACCGTCGCTGTTCCCCACGTTTTCCGACCTGCTGGACGGTGAGTTTGTCGCCGGTGCAGTCCTGTCCGCCGGCGATCTGCAGCGCCGTGAAGTGCACCAGCACGGACGAGTGGCTGCCGGCCGTCAGGTACCACACGCAGCGCACGTTGGACGGGTAGTTGGCCGGGTGGTTGGGCGACTGCAGGGTCTGTGGCGTGTCCGTCGCCTCCAACTGGGTCCGGCCGCACACCGCTGGTCGTCGCCAGAAAGGTGACAGGGTCAGAGATCCGCACGGCATGCACGCCTAGGCTATTCTGCGCTCTACAGCGATGGAACATTCAAAATAAGACGGAAGTGCTGCTTTGGTTAATGGCTTCAAAGTCAAAGACAGACCTCAAGCAACGACAGTATGCAATGACATGAACTGTAAATGGGCAATGCAGTGCTACTGCTGTGTTTCCAATGACGCTTCACTGCACTCACAGTCGACGTTTGTGATTTGTGCGGAGAAGCCGGAGCGGTGCACCTCTCCGTCCGAGTAGAACTTGATGAAGAGCTCGTTGGAGGAGGCAGTGATGGCCGGCGGCAGCTGGGAGCCGCAGTAGCGGTCGATCAGCGGAGACACGGGGCTGGAGCCGTCGCGGACCTGCCGAGCGAGAGCACCGTGATCGTCTCAACTCACAAGAGTCATGTCGCACCGGTGGACAAGTCATGACAGATCATACGCTATACCATGCCGGTTGACGCATTGCATGCATTATGGCTGAACGAGCGACCCCATGATCATTGACTTGACACCATTCTGTATCGGCGTGTGAAAACAAGTGTGAGTAGCAGAAGCGCATGTTAATGGCATCTTATTTTCTCCGTCCGTTCCATCCACCTCACCTCGAGGTAGTCGTACGGACAGGAGACGGAGCTGGAGCCGTTGACCTCGATGTTGAAGGGCTGCTGTAGGGTCAGCCGGAGCACGCGGCCCGCGTCCCCGCGCACCACCCAGCGACAGTCGAGGTTGTCGTCGTACGCGCCGTCACTGTCCGTGTCTGGGGAGCGCAGTGTGAGTGTCGACGAGCCGCTGACCGTCTTGTCGCCACCGCAGTTCTGGTCGGGACCTGCGGCAGAATTGGGCGGACGTGCAGAGACAGACTGGTAAACAGACGGGCAGACAGACGCGCAGACAGACTGACAGACGAGCAGATTTTTTTTTTACGGGCACTAATAACACTATGCAACAAAAAATGAAAGATTTTCTGTTCCTGGAAAGCGACCGAATTTTTCTTATTCATTGGGTCCTATCATAACCGAAATGGGCATTTGTTTTGATCTGAAAATGCTTTTCCGGTTTTCAGAGACGATTTTCGATTTTTGGCCCCGAAATTCGGTTTTTGGCCCACCGTGTCCGGTGTAATTGAGTAATCGATTCGGTGTAACTTTCATCGCCTTTCCTATGCCACAAGCTTTCGAATGATATCCGGTTTTGCATATTTGCGTGTAAAAATAACGTCATAAATCTATGTTAAAGTAAGTTAATGTTGAAATTTTGCAAAAATTTGGCATTTTTTTTATTTCATTTCAAAATAGAGAAAAAACTAAAGACCCTATCCAAATTCTGAGCCCAGTTCCTTAAAGAGCATTCAATTTCCGTTCGGAATGTACTTTTTTTAGTGCATTTTATCGGTTTCCTGTGGCGTCCAGATTGAGTTAACCTAAACACATGTCCTAGGTCACATCACATAGCATTAAAACCTGATAAGGTATGTTAACGCCATAGGGTCAACGAGGGGTCAACTGAGGTCATGTTGTTGACCCCTTGTGACCTTCACACGCAGGAACTTACTTTTGAGCAGTCCTGTTGTTCAGAATCTTGATCTGTACCTCCATTTGTTAGAATAGTTCTTCATGCACTGAACACATAGGTTGTCATGGAAATGGCTGGGGCCCGTTTTTCCAGTGACTCAATCTGGACGCCACAGTAAACCGATAAAATGCACTAAAATAGTACCTTCCGAACGGAAATTGAATGCTCTTCAAGGAACTGGGCTCAGAATTTGGATAGCGTCTTTAGTTTTTTCTCTATTTTGAAATGAAATCGAAAAAAATGTCCAAATTTTACAAAATTTCAACATTTCCTTACTTCAACATAGATTTATGAGGTTATTTTTACACGCAAATATGCAAAACCGGATATCATTCGAAAGCTTGTGGCATAGGAAAGGCGATGAAAGTTACCACGAGTCGATTTCTCAATTACACCGGACACGGTGGGCCAAAAACCGAATTTCGGGGCCAAAAATCGAAAATCGTCTCTGAAAACCGGAAAAGCATTTTCAGATCAAAACAAATGCCCATTTCGGTTATAATGACACCCAATGAGTTCAAAAAAATCGGTCGTTACTCAGGAACAAAATGATTGTTGCATAGTGTAATCAACGGACACTGATGAGCACAAACGGCATGAGCATATACGCCTATATCAAGTCATTTCAGAAGGCCAGCATTGTTACTGGATTTTATGCTGTTTATTCATGCGCTAATGGAGTGGAGCATTTTCGTACCGATGGAGAAGAGAACCGCCGCCCGGAAGCCTCCTCGTGCCACGCTCCTGTCCGTGACGAACTGGATGAGCGCCTGTCTGGAGGAGGTGATCTGTCCGCGCGGCGCAGACACAGAACGGTTACTTCAATCGTTACTTCACTTCACACTGGCTACTTCACAACCGGTTACTTCAATCGTAATCAAAATCACACAATGGTGTTATAAAATGTACTACGGATACGAAGACGAGCATAATTCTTTTTCAAGCGCATCATACACAGCACTTAAATCCAAAGGCGTCATAATGAACGCAACAATAGGAACACGAAAGAAAGCCGTCCCTGTCACCCCCTTCGAACTCACGACATGCGGCGGATTTTGGTTCATGTCTCCGCAGTACTTGTCAACCAGTTTGGTCGGGTTCGGCCAAGTGTCTTCAAAGACGGACACCGAATCATACCGGCAGTCGTACGCAAGTTCCAGGTCGAGGTACATGAACCTGCGACGGAAAAATAGCTGTTTGTTAGCGAAAGGAGAAGGTACACCACCCAGACAAGCCCTGAATATGATAGCTGAAAGGTGTTACTATCGTTTTACTTTCATCCTGTTGCAGTTGTTGCATGCCCTTTCGTTGGTCGCCCAAAAGGCGTCCTATTGGTTCCTGTGCTGTGTGTGTGCGCGCACCACTGACCTGACGAGGACCACCTTCCCGGGCGGCGCTGTGACCAGCCAGCTGCAGTTGGTGTCGTGGTGGTAGGTGTCCGGGTGGTTCTGCGACTGGATCACGCCCGGCTCGGTCACCGTCCCGCCGCACTCTGCGACAGCACGGCCGATAGAAGGGCTAAGGTAACAGTTCACAGTGCAGCGGAGACAGACGTGAGGGGTAACGGCTCCCGGTGCAGGAGCGACAGAAAGGGTAAGGTATCTGCTCCCGGCGCAGTAGTTGTCAGACACCCGGCCACTTGTGTAACAGAGAGGTAGGTTACCCGAAATACGTGAATGGTACGCATTTTTGAAGTTGTCTTTAACTTATGGCAGCTAAGGAACCGTGCTGACATGACACCGAGAACCTAGGAGACCGTTCTGACCTGACCGTTCTGACCTGATACGGAGAACCCACGGGATTATGCTAACCTGAGATGGGAAAAACCTGCCTGGGTCCGTGCTGATCTGAGATATAAGCCCCAGGGGACCGTGCTGACCTGAGACGTAAACCCCAAGGGACAGTGCTGACCCGAGAGGGAGAATCCAGGGTCCGTGCTCACCTGACACGGAGAACTCGGCCTGCCAGCCGGCGGCTCCTATGGAGTGGTCGGTGGTGAAGAGAACGGTGACGGGACCGCGCACGGTCAGACCGCTCGGCCTGCGGTCGCCACACGTGCTGACCAGAGCCGTGCCGTCCGTGCTGTTACCGGCGAACACCGACAGCCGGTCGTAGCGACACTCGCTCTCGTCTGGAAACGTACACATGACAAAGGACGAGTTAGAAGGGAGTCAACTCCAGCAGAATGGTGCCAGCTATTTTCACAATTTAGAAGAAACAAAAATGTATGGAACTCTCAACTCACGAAATAAATTAATCGTTTTAATCAGATGTTGCCTTGTGGACGCTCGCCTACCTTCGATCATGAACTGGTCGACGAAGCTCAGATCGACGTAGTCCCCGGGCCGGGCCATGATACGGTACACACAGTTGAGGTAGTCTGGGTAGTTTTGCGGGTAGTTGGGCGAGCGGAAGGACCCGCTGGTGGAGTTGAAGTCCTCTCCGCACAAGGTGCTCCAGCCCAACTGGAAAACAAATCTGACTGATGAGAAGGTGAGAACGCAGATAAGGACATTTATTTGTACACACAATAGTCCCAGTGCTCCCCACGCACTAGACCTTCCAACCGTACAAGATCGGTCTGGTTTTCCTCCAGCTCTGATCATTCTAACTGCCGTCGTTATCGATATACTAACCCGGAATCCGTTTCCGTTATGTTCATTGGCGTCGGACTTGAACCTTATTTTGACTTCGTTTCTGGTGCTGAGAATCGGAGGAGGCACGGTCTTTCCACAGAACTTTCCGATGCTGAGGTACTGACCATCAACCTTCTCCCATATCTGCCAATGACAATTGGAGCTCGTGTAAGACACCGGGCGCCAGGCACATGCTTGACAACAACAGCAGCAAAATACAAACAAATCCAAGCCGACGTGTGAGGAAAGCATGTTAAAATGGAAACAGTCCACAAATGCCATACGAGTTAAATTGCAAAAGAAACGGGTAGACCGCAGAATCCAGAAAGTTATTCCTCTTTTACGAAAGAGAAACTGAAGTAAAAGTAAAATAAGTGGAATGTTATATGTTCTGTAATATAACTGGTGTCCTAGTCGCCTATAAAGGGCGCGGCTGACCTCCACAAAGTCGTTCTGGCAGTCGTCGCTGGTCTCCATGTCGAAGGTGTTTGTGAAGGTGAGCTGCAGCCGGAACCCGGGCTGGGCGCGCACCTCCCACTCGCACTCGGACGAGGGTAAGTAGTCGGACGGAAAACCGGGCGACGTCACCGCACCGTGCGTGGTGTGGTACACGCCGCCGCAGCCTGCGCAACCACCGAGAGGACAGCTCGTCAGCAAGGGACAAACGGAACACCGGAGCAACGCGAACTGGCCTCGTCTCGTAATGAAACTGGCAGCAATGTGCCGTTAGTACTATACAACTTCAACATCCGACAGGATGCGACCCCGAGACATCAGCTCCGTCGCCGCCCCGTCTGCCGTCTGCGGCGCCACTGACCTGACTCGGTCTCGGCCAGGAAGCCGCGGTGCTGGCCGGAGCCGTCGCTGTGGAACACCACCAGCATGTAGCGGCTCTGGCCGTGCATCACCACCGGCTCACCACCAGCCGGGTGGCTGCCCGTCAGCCGGGCCAGCTGCGGCGCCGTCGAACCCGGCCCGTTCAGCACTGAGATGTAATCACCGGGGCCCAGCTCATACCACGAGAACCGCACCTGCCGGCGTGCACAGACACGGCTCAGACGGTACGCACAAAGAAAGGCACGGCAGCGCATACAGATACAAATTAGGCAGGGTGTTTGTGATGAATGGGATGTGTGACGGCGACCGGTGGAAAATGCCTGCACTGGTAGGCTGTACCGCTGTACAGATACTGCGTTGGCAGACTGTGCCGCAGTGCAGTGACTGCGCTGGTAGGCTGTGCCGCAGTACAGTGCCTGCGTTGGTAGACTGTGCCGCAGTGCAGTGACTGCGCTGGTAGGCTGTGCCGCAGTACGGTGAGTGTTGGTAGGCTGTGCCGCAGTGCAGTGACTGCGCTGGTAGGCTGTGCCGCAGTACAGTGCCTGCGCTGGTAGGCTGTGCTGCAGTACAGTGCCTGCGCTGGTAGGCTGTACCGCTGTGCAGTGCCTGCTGGTAGGCTGTGCCGCAGTACAGTACCTGCGTTGGTAGGCTGTGCCGCAGCACAGTGACTGCTGGTAGGCTGTGCTGCAGTACAGTGCCTGCGTTGGTATGCTGTGCCGCAGTGCAGTGACTGCTGGTGGGCTGTGCTGCAGTACAGTGCCTGCGTTGGTATGCTGTGCCGCAGTGCAGTGACTGCTGGTAGGCTGTGCTGCAGTACAGTGCCTGCGTTGGTATGCTGTGCCGCAGCACAGTGACTGCTGGTAGGCTGTGCTGCAGTACAGTGCCTGCGTTGGTATGCTGTGCCGCAGTGCAGTGACTGCTGGTAGGCTGTGCTGCAGTACAGTGCCTGCGCTGGTAGGCTGTACCCAGGCATCGGTAAAATCCTTTTTGAAAGGATTGCATTCCCAATCCACATTCCTAGTGCCGAAGTGGATTGCATTCCTACCCGCAATCCCCTTTTTTCACTTGGATTGTGATCAAATCCGCAATCCTTTTTTGCAATCCTGTTGTATTATTATATGCACTAGTGGATCTGGGGGAGGGAGGAGGGCAAGGGCCGTGCCTCCATCCCCAAATCACCCATTTCTAGTAGGCGTCGTCCACTCCAGAAGTTTTGAGACTGGCCTCGTAAAATCCATATGAACAGTGCTAGATACTTGTTGTTCTCACAAGTCCTTACCACAGTTGTTATAAACGTACTTGCGTAATTTTGTTTTTCTACGTTGCAAAAGACGGCAACGGTGTCACCCTGAACATGGCAAGTCGCACGCGGCTTGTCACAGTGACCAGTGTAGAGCACAGTCAGGTTGTTCATGTGAAGACAACTTGGAGGGTCGCTGTGAAATAAAATTTTGGGATTAGCTTGGCAAAAATGCCCGAGAAACATAGCAAATTGACTTTCAAGTGACTTGAGACGAAAGCTGGATGTATTTTTACCATCACGAGACCAAGAGACAGAAGGTCCAATGAAAGCACACTGACTCCTTCAGACCCAATAAAGACAGCGGCGCAGGTCCACTGGGAAGCTCAAATTAATCCCTTACTTAGAACAAAAAGGCAAGAACTTCATAACCTGGGTCCCCTACACGGCCAGATGGTCAACAAGGAATGATTCGTAAAGGTTCTGAGGGAGTTGAGAAAGAGATTTCACCGCAAGAGGTCGCAACTCTTCAACTGTGGCCAGGGGCTCATGCACCAGGACAGCGCACACACCCACAAGTCCACCATGGAGACGAACTATCTGACACAGATGTGCGTCAAAACCGTCCGTAACCCTTCCCACTGTCCTGATCTGGCCCCCGTGACTTCTGGATGTTCCACAGACTGACAGGGAAGCTCAGGGGCCGTCTTTCGGAGGATGTGGAGGAGATGAGTGAGGCTGTGACAGAGGCCCTGGGCACCTTCACTTTGAAGGCCTATCAGCAGGCCTTCAGGCAGTGACAGGAGCGCTAAAGCAGGTGCATTGGACTCGGGAGGTTCCATTTCGAGAGTCATACAAGTTTCATGCTTCTCTGAAACAGACAACTGTCTCTACTGAAAAAGTCTCAAAACTTCTGGAGTGTCTTGCGAGTAATTGCTATCTAAGGCACAGGTATTTTATGGGAAATATTTTTTGCCTCAAACACCCCCACATTTAAACCTCTACCCAACCAGTGTTTTATATTTTTAAAACTCGCCCTCAAATACGTAATTTTGCCCTTCCTATGTAGTACCTACATCAGCATATATTATTTTGAGCGTTTAAATTAAAAGCGTTTAAATTATTTCAAGTTTCGATGTAAAGCCCTTGATAGCAAAGTACATTAAGCCGATGAAGCCGATCTCATAATTTTCAATCACAACAAACCATTTCAAAGCACTAATCAAACACAATCCGGATTGGATTGCAAAAATTGGAAGTATGATGCAATCCAATCCGCAATCAAATCCTGTTTTTTGGAATGGATTTCAAATCCAGGTGCAATCCACCAAAAAGGAATGCAATCAGGATTTTGCAATCCTGCAATCACAATCCTACCGATGCCTGGCTGTACCGCTGTGCAGTGCCTGCTGGTAGGCTGTGCCGCAGTACAGTACCTGCGTTGGTAGGCTGTGCCGCAGCACAGTGACTGCTGGTAGGCTGTGCTGCAGTACAGTGCCTGCGTTGGTATGCTGTGCCGCAGTCATGCAGTGACTGCTGGTAGGCTGTGCCGCAGAACAGTGACTGTTGGTAGGCTGTGCCGCAGTACGGTGAGTGTTGGTAGGCTGTACCGGAGTGAAGTGGCCGCGTGGTACTGGTAGCATATGTGTCATAATGCAGTTCTCAGATAAACTATGCGACACTGTCGCAATAATTGATAGAAAACAATTGCGACAGCGCATTTCGCTAAAGGATCGGCGATGGTGCATGTGAACTCTCCGTACACAGATCAGTCCTTTCCTGGGTTTACGGAGTGGTTTTGCTTATATCGACCTAATCGACCACCAATTTTATCACCTTTTCATCTGAACATATATCCTGCGAATGCTAATACCTATTCAGTGATAGCAGAGAGCAGAGAAGTGAGGACCCACCCGGGCGGAGCCGTCCTCGAAGGTGACCAGCCAGGCGCAGTCCATGCTGTTGGGATAGTTGTCCGGGTAGCCAGGCGAGAAGAGCTGAACTCCGGGACCAGTCACCACGCCGCCGCACGGCCTCACCGAGTACGTCAGGTTAAAGTGCGTCGGCCAGTAACCACCCTGCGTCTGAGAATGGCGCCATAATAGCAGGCATCAGTGGCGCGGTACTCGTGTCCATTCAACATGAAAACACAGTGCACAGGAACGATTCAGGCGCAAAGCTACCGCAGCGTTATCACAGAAAATATATTTGTCCTTCGTAAGACAGAGCTGATGCAAAGCATCTATCCATAGTCCGATGAGTCGTAGTTCAACTTACCCGATACGTTAGCGTGAAGTCGGTGAATGGAATATGCAGAGGCGGAGGAATGGTTGCATTTCCGCACACCTTTTCCGTTTCATATTGAAGATAGTCTGAAAGAAAGCAGTCACTCATATTACTGTCATCAGTACATATTTATTATCTTTTTACAAGCATTATGTGTTAAGTGTTCATTATTAAAAGTTTAAGGCCGTTTTCACATTATTTCGTCAGGATTTACAATGCGCCCGCCTTGGTACACCTTTCTCGCCTGAGTCGCCCTGTGCTGACTGCTCACCTGGCTCGGCCGTGATGCGCGACGCGGAACAGTCATTAAGAGAGAAGGCGTTGAACGTGACGAGAGCGGTGGCGTTGGCGGCGTCCGAGAGCGTCAGGTGCCACCGGCACTCGGCCGAGCCGGCGAACGGCCGCGGGAACAGGGGCGACGCCAGCCAGCCGGCAGCGCTCGTCACCTCGCCGCCGCACACTGACGGAAGGGGGAGCGGTCACACTTTTGTTTGTTTTGTTGGGTTAGGCCCTTTCGGTCCAATGAGACCATTTCAGAGCCGGGAGGATAATAGGATATAGGGGGAGACATTGGTCTGGGCAGGCACCCTAGTGAGTCGCCGGGGCTGAGCCCGTCCAGAGGACAGGCCACCCAGCCCCAAGGCACTCACTGCACCCGGCTACGGGGTGCGCTCCCTCGGGAGCAGCGGTGCCGCTCCAAGGGAGCAGCCCGCATGAGATAAAGTTGCCTGTCCAGCCCGGAAGGGGGTTGCGGCGTGGAGGAGAAGGATTTCAGAATCCTGAGGATAGAAGCACGGAACGGAGATGGGCGGTCACACGAATGGAGCAGGCTATACCGACAGATTAGCAGAAACAGCTGGGTCCACCAGTCTCCCCGGACTCACGAACAGCCACCAATCTCCCCGACTCAGAGGCAGCTGCAATCCAGTTCTCTCCGACTCAAGGACAGCCGTCAGTCTCCGCCGACTCACGGATAGACAGTCGTCAGTCTCCCCCGACTCACGGATAGACAGTCGTCAGTCTCCCCCGACTCACGGATAGACAGTCGACAGTCTCCCCCGACTCACGGATAGACAGCCGCCAGTCTCCCCCCCCCCGACCCACGAACAGCTGCTAACTCTCCCGGCTCAAAGACAGTCAGCCCTGTCTCTCTCGACTCACTGACGGCCAGTCCCCGCCCCCAACTCACGTGCCGGCTCGTCGGTGGTGTACTGAATCTGGAATCCGCGCGCTGCGCCGCTGCCCACGCGTGAAATGAACACCAGCGCCAGCTGGTTGCCGCTGGAGCTGATGGCTGGCGGCGCCGAGTCGCCGCAGTAGACATAGTCCGTGTCGGTGAAATTCAGGTGGGGAGAACCGTTCGAAAAGCCGTCAACAGCCTGGGAGGGACAGAAGAGAAAACGTGAAGAACAAGAACAACATGAACAACATGAATACACAAGAACAACGTGCTCATCGAACAAGGATACTTCTCCAAGTCAATAAGCAATGCTCTTGGTCGTGTTGCCACTAGGTGGCCTTCCTCAGGCCACTGCGTGCCTCCGAGTGTCCTGTCCTCCGAGCGACCCTGCCCGGTGTCCGCCTCAGCACCATCACTCACGAAGAGCCCTGTGCGGCAGTTGCCGACTCTGTTGCGCGCGTTCGCTGGCAGCTGCCAGTCGGTGGTGGAGAGCTTGATTCGGCGGCCGGCCGGAGCGTAGATTCGCCAGATGCACCGGCGACGGCGCGGCACCCCGTGGGGGTAGCCCGGGCTCTCGATCACGCCGGAAGAGGCCTGCAACCAGCCACCGCAGCCTGAGGGTGTAGCCATGAGAGGTCAGCTGCAGCACTTGGGCTGCACAGTCAGAGGCGCTGAGGTCAGCTATCAGAGGCCCTCGGCTCCGGACTTGCTGCAGTCCAAAATCTTCTACAGTTTTTGTAGACGTGTGAATGTTTTAGGTTTACTGAAGAGAGCATGTAGGTTGGTAGATAATTTAGGAATCGTTCTATGACTTTCATTGCAGATGTTATTTCTGATATATTAGTCCGAGATGAGTAACCAGGCGCGACCGGTTTGTTTCATTAACAAACTGAATTGGATCTTGGAGCACTGACCGTCCAGACTGGCGCGGAACTTGAGCACGAAGCCGCGATTCTGCGTGCGCTGTCCGTCAGTGACCACGGTGATGAACACAGAGTTGGCCGAACTGGTGACGGCGCGGACCCTGCGGCTGCCGCAGTACCGCGCCAGCACCTCTCCTGAGAGATAGTCGTCAGCGAGTCAGGACCCCGGCGGTACCGGTGGAACGTCAGTGCTGGTTAGAACATCTGTAGGGAGTGGGAATATTTCACTCTCACTCTATCCCTCCCCTCCCTATATATCTCTCTTCTCTCGTTGTTCTTTGCTCACTCACTCACTCACTCACTCACCCACTGACTCACTCACCACTCCCTCACTCACTCACTCACTCCCTCACTCACTCACTCACTCACTCACTCACTCACCTAACCTCACCTCACCTCACTCACTCACTCACTCACTCACTCACTCACTCACTCACTCACTCACTCACTCACTCACTACACTACCTGTGCTGTTGAAGTCGCGCACTTGCACGTAGTCGCTGGTGCAGTTGGGACTCTCTTCCATGTCCATGGTGGGGAACCAGACGCGCATCGAGTGGCCCTCCGGTCCCAGGATGTGGTAGCTGCAGTTCATGTTGGTCTCGTACTGACCGTTCAGCACGTTCAGGGTGCCCCTCCGGCCGCGGAACGTACCGCCACATGTGGCTGTGGCAAAAGGTCGTGATGCGACATCTACAGCACACCTTTCACTGCGTAGCAAGTGCTGAACATGTGAATGTCGCGAATGTAAGCCTACATGCTGTCACATAGGCTGCAGCTGTCGGCAAATACAAACCTACACGACCTACTCCTCTGAGTCCGGGCTGACTGGACAAGTAATATACGTTAGGTCTCTTTGTTGCATGATGTTTCATTTCCTCCCCGATCCTTCCTGTGACTCTTTCGTTGACTCGTTCGCGGGGTCCTCCAGCCAGTAGTTACCCACCGATGGCGACGCGGGCGCGGAAGCCGCCGCGCGGCTCGCTGGTGTTGGTGTAATAGTTGATGAGCGCCGCGTTGCCGGTGGTGACGATGGTGGGCGGCAGCCGGTCGGAGCAGTAGCGCCGACCGATACGCTCGGCCATCATGGTGCCGCCGTCCCGCACCTCCACATAGGCCTGTCGACATCTGATGGGTGCACGGGGAGCTCCACTTACAATAAACTCAGGGAAAATGCTCTTCGTCAACAGCTTCAGTGCAGGACATAATCTCCTATGAACACAGTTCTGCGAACATCGATGAAGGTATGAACATATGAGCTATGAATTTCTATGAAGCGCAGTTCTATAAATATATGAACAGTAATGCCGAAATAGAAATTACAGACACAGTTAATCAGGATATGAGACATTTAAATCGAAACCCATGGCGAGGCACCCGACCTAACTCGTCGTCGTTAGTCGATGGCTAAAGCTATGCTAAATATAGGGTACACATAATCTAGTCAACAGCCAGTCTAAGGCATGCTAGTTAAAGTCACTCTAGTCATAGCTCTTCTAGTCGATGAGCATGCTCGGCGCTCGCGAATCGTTCACAAGCTCCGGTTAAAAATTATACTAAAAATCAGTCCCAATCAACCGCCGTACCATGCTAAAAGCCCAAAAGGTATTCTAATGTAGCACTCGTAACTGCCTTGTACTTGCGAAGGGCTGTCGCCTGTCACTACATCATTCACCACGCGTCAAGCCCGAGCTAATGAACGGGAGCAGTCCGGTCAGGGTTAACTCCATACCTCTAGATTCAGCCATCTTGCCTCTTGGGCAAGACACGTAGCCTTGTCGATCCATGGCCGCTTGGAACAGCGTGAGAGCTCCGGTTAGCGCTTGGTTCACTGGATATGGTGCTTACTGTTTAACTCTACAAGCGCTCCTTTTTTAACTCTACAAGGATCCTTCCGCCTGTACGCTCGTTTTCCTCCTTCCCCGCTAGCCTCTCACGAGATAATTGTGTCCCCTATCATCCGTTCGCCTTCCCGGCCTCCCACCTGAACGACGTAGTGATGTCGAACGAGTCGATGAAGTCGACCTGGACGGCCCTGGAGGCGGGCGCCACGGCCGACCACTGGCACGCCGAGTAGGCCGGCGGGATGTTGGGGTAGTTGGGCGTACTGATGGTGAGCGCCGGCTGTTGGTCGCTGAGCACCAGCTGGCCGCCGCACGTAGCCGCCGAGCGGTAGGTGAGCCGCAGCAGGCCGCCAGTGCCGTCCGAGCCGGGCGTCAGCACCAGCTTCACGTGCAGCCGGTGACTGGACGTGTCGGGCAGCGACGGCCGGCTGGTGCCGCAGAACCGGCCCGAGCCCAGGTACGGCGAGTCCACCTGGTCGCCGTTGCGGATCTGCAGGCGGCGAGCGGGGTCGGGGTCAGAGGGAGGTTAGCTGGACGGCGAGGCGAGGTCAGAGCGGCCAGCCGGGCGGGTCGGAGGGAGGTCAGCGGGGCGGCGGAATAAGGTCAGCTGGTTGGTGGAGCAGGAGCCTTCCTGTAAATGGGCACATCGGCCCGTTGGAAGGATGACGAATAAAAGAAAAATGTTCAACGTTTGGTACTTCACAGCCTGTGACAATAAGGTTGAACACACACACACACAAGTATTTTTATTGTCTCATTGACAAATGCAAACACGTTTACATGGCGGATCGGCGCAAAAGCTAACGCTTAAGTCGAGGCGCCTCTCCAAAGCTAAACAATTGCAACAGAATTTAACAAGATAATAAATCATGGATCCACTAACACAGCCAGCACGGGACAGAACCACGCCGACCCCGCCAACTACCCACGAAGCATCCAACTGGAATAGGGAAAGCCCGCTCGGTCCCGCGCACAGGGCGGCCACCGCCGGCTCAGATGAGTGATGTGAGTTTGTGTGCTGGAAGGTGGTGTGTGGCTGTGAGTGTGTATACTCGTACTTGTGTCAATGTTACGTTGTGTTAGTAAATCGCCTGGTGTTTTGAATGTATGTTTGTAAGTGGTGAGCCACATGCACACCCACCATGCTTGTGACGTTTCTATTAAATAAAAGGATGTCAAGCTTACTTTTTCCTGAGAGATTATCAAAGTTTGGAACGATAGCCCGCATGACACCGAACAGTTGCGATCGGGCTGTTTGGTACAGAGGACAGTCCATTATGTAGTGAGTGGTTGTTTCATTTGGGTGACCGCAAATGCACGCTGGAGTAAGGACGTTTGGGTGTTGCGTTCGGAATTGATGTGCGTTCAGAAATGTTTGTCCGATGCGCAGTCTAGTGTGGTGTGTGTTTGCTGTCTTTGTGCCGACTGAATGTGACAGTGGAGGTTCTGTTGTCCCAAATCGCTGCCAGACTTCACGAGAGAAATCAGAGCGGGATTGAATGGCACGCATAGCAGCAGGAAGAAGATTCCACTGCCTGATAGTTGCTGGGATAAAGGATCGGTGGAAGGATGTGAGTCTAATCGGGGGAAGCGATAGTAGGGTGGCGTTTCTAAGTTGAAGTCCTGTAGCACCCTGTCTTGTGTCAGTCAAAATGTTGGTGATATATGTAGGTAAGGGAGGATTGTTATTATAAAGTCTATGAAAGAAAATGAGTCTGTGAATGAGTCGTCTCGTTTCCAGTCTTTCCCACCCTAAGTCATTCAAAAGTGCGTCTGTCGGTGATCTGTATAGTGCTCCAGTAACGAGTCTTGCACATCGATTTTGAAGTCTCTGGAGGCGGATTTTGTCTTTGATTGTCAAGTTGCCGTCGTAAATGATGTCACAGTAGTCAAAATAAGGTCTTATGTATGTTGTGTAGATGTCGCTGAGCATAGGCCTAGTGAGAAATTTGGCTATAGGGTAGATAGGTCCAAGTAATGAATTAATTGTACGGACAATGCTATTAACATGTTGGTGAAAACAAAGATCAGTCGAAAGAGTGAGTCCGAGATGCTTGTGGCAACTCGTAGTGGGAATGTCTTGCCCTTTAAAATGTAGCTTGAAGTCTTGGTTGTCATGTACGTTGGAAAATGTCAATTGTATAGTTTTCTGTGCATTGAAGGTGATTGCCCAGTCGTCTCCGTAACGTCCTATGTCGTCCAAGTCTTTTTGTATCGTCGTTCTATGGTCCTGGCTGTCATGTGGATGTGATGAATATAAGGAAGTGTCGTCGGCGTAAAAAAGTGCTTCGTGCTGCGTGACTTTTGACAGGTCGTTAAGATACATAATAGCCAGCAGAGGCCCGAGCACTGAACCTTGTGGGCAGCCTGACGAAATTTGTTCCGGCGGAGAAAAACTGTCTCCTACTCTTACTACTTGCGTCCGTTTGCTCAAGTATGACTTTGTCCATTCCAAGACGTTTCCTGTTATGTTGTATTGTATTTCACATTTTTTAAGTAAACCTTTGTGCCATATTTTATCAAAATATTTTGAAATATCGAGAAAGACGGCTGTGAAATTTTCTTTTTTGTTTAGTGCTGAAAATAATTGGTGGGTAAGGTATACAAGTTGTATATCTGTACTGTGATTTGGACGATATCCGCTTTGCTTATCGGATATAAGTTCATTTTCAGTTATATGTTTGTAGATTTTGTTAAATACCAATTTTTCTAAGATTTTGGATACATTTGGAAGGAGGCTTATTGGACGATAGTTTCCCGGGTCTGAGCTAGATCCTTTTTTCTTGAAAATGGGTATGACACATGCTTTTTTCCAAGATTCCGGAAATACCCCTGATTGTAATGATTTGTTGAAGAGGATTGTTAGTGGTTTGGCGATTATCATGGCACACATTTTCAACAGTTTAGCTGGAATTTTATCTGGACCCGAGGATTTGTTTGAGTCCAGGCGATTAAGAATGTTAAGAACTTCAGGCTCAGTAACTCGGACCTCTGCTAGCGTGGGGACGTGAGGTCCCGGGGGGCTAATAGGAGGCATTGGTTTGTCATGTATGTCGAGTCGTGTCTGAGCGGCAAAATGTTTGTTGAGTGTAGTCGCTTTGTCAATGTCGTCAGTCAGTGGTGTACCGTCTTGTTCGATGAGTGGAGGCATGCTTCGATTGTTTCTCCTTCCCATTAGATCTTTAAGAATTGCGTGATAGATATGTGGGTCTTTTTTCGATTTCAGCAGTTTCATGACCTGTGTTTGAATGTAAGCATCTTTTAGTTTTTGGTTAGTGTATGTGGTACAGTTTCGTTGTTGTTTCCAACGCTTCCAATCCAGTTCGGTGTTACTCTTCTTGGCTGCGTGAAATAGTCTGTCTCTTTTACGTATCTGCCGTTTTAGTTCAGATGTGAGCCATGGTTTGTCACTGTTTTTCTTTGTTATTGTTCGGATAGGAATTGATTCCATGGCGGCAGTGAGCAAGGTCTGTGTGAAATTGTCTGTTGCTTCGTCTACGTCACAGTTCATTAGGCTGTCCCAGTCCGTCTCCATTAGCAATGCGACAAGTTTGTCCGAATCCATGTGTCTGTAGTCCCATATTTGTGTTGTTTGTCTAGTCGTCGCGGCCTTGCCTATCTCAATCGATGCAAATATTGGTAGGTGATCTATGTTTGAAAAACTAGAAAGAGTACCGCTCTCGCGAACCAGACTATCGTTTGAAACAAGTAAAATATCTCTTAGGTTTGCAACCTTGTTGTCTTCTGTATATCGTGTTGGTTCACTTATGAGCTGCTTGAGATTCAATGAAAAAATTTCATCGTGGAGAGCAGTTTCGAAAGGGGTGACTGGGCTGTGATTTTTGAATATAGGATTGAGGAAAGTGTTTCCGGCGTTAAAGTCTCCCAAAATAAGTGTATTGTCGGGGGAATATACTTGCGCGAGCGCAAAGCTTTCGCCCAATTTTTCAAGAAATGCGGAATGTTGATTTGATGTAAATTTTGGTGGTATGTAAACAGCGCATATTATTAATGTACATGTTTTTGTTTTGATTAGGCACCATATCCACTCGATGCCTTCAAGTTCTAAGTGGTTAAGTCGTTTAACAGCTATATTATTACGCACATAGATGGCGACACCCCCTCCCTTCCTGTCTCTGTGTCTCGTCAATGGGTCGTGGAAATTGTCAAGAGTGAAGAGGGAAGGATGAACTTGATCGTCTAGTTTTGTCTCTGATAGGCATAATATGTCAATGTCGTTAAGTGAGGAAAAATGGGAAAGTTCGTCAAGTCGGCAGCGAGATGTGACAGAGTTTATATTCACGTGACAGATGTTAAGCTGAGTGTTGTCTGAGCCCTGCACTTTGGGTGATGTGGACTGGCGTGATGGCGACGTGGCTGAGCCGACAGAGGCCGCCCCGTGGACGGAGCCCAAGGAAGACACAGAAGGGGAGCTCGTTAGGTGTCGGCGGCGGCACAGCAGTGGGTGTCCTGTTATAGACGATAAGTGTTCAGAAAACGCGATAGACGTAAATCAAGAGTAATTAAATAAAAACGATAAAAGAGCAACCAGCAGTTGACCACAAAATCAGATAATCGTAAATCTGGCATGATGAAATCCGTGCAAAATATTCAACACTGTACAATACGGTTAAGTAGGTTGTCGGGTACAGAACTAAACAAGCAAAGATAATTTGCCAAGATAGTTACCCCGTTTACATGAGTCAGCGAAAATGACGTTTAGAACGGATATTTCCGTTTAGCGAAAAGTGCGCAAGTTTCGACTCATGTAAACTGGTTTGGGCGCGCAAAAATGACGATTACGCGGAACGGAAATATCCGATGAATTAATGGGAAATATCCGTTTAGGACGTCAGGCCTAAACGGATTTTTTGCGCATCTAGCAGAAAATGACATGAATATGCATGTTTTACAGATGAAATTTTTTAGTTTACACATCAAAATATATATTTAAGTTGAATGGTAGGTCTAATGACAATGAAATCCACTTTTTGCCCCTGATTTCGCGCCATTGTGGCAGATTCATGAAGTACCTACATAATTGTTGAGAGGAACGTCCTATGCTTCAAAAGGGAAGCATTCTAGTTTAGGGGTAATTTCCTTATTTCTTAGATTCAACAATCAGGGTTCAATTCCAGGGCAACCAACATAGCCTTCCCAGCCAGTCGCTCCCTATAGCCACTTGGAACAGCATGGTAGTGCCATTTAGTGCTTGGTACACTGGATATGATGCTTGATTTATTTTGCTTTAGTACATGCTCCCAAAAATTTTCTCTACCTAGGTACTTCAAACTTCCTAGCAGTGATTCAGATAACTTATGCTTCAGCGAACAGCCACCAGACGGCAGGGCACGCAGGCTGGTTGGGACAGGAACTTGGCTGCATGCCAAAATATACACAAGACACACAGCCAAATTTACTCAGTGACACTGCCATCTGCCCCCCCCCCCCCCCACCAATATTTAAATGTTCTTAAATAATTGTTCCAAAGAAGTAGATTCTTCAGTGGTGGGAAGGTCTCTGAAAGTTTGGTTAATCTCGGATGGTGGAAGCAGGTAGCTGGCAAGTTTGGTGGAATTTGTAGAATCATACCTAACCTTACCTACCAACCTAACTTTCAACCTACCATCCTACAAACACACCTACATGCCTACAACCTATTATACCAAACTACTTCCTACCAATCTACAAGGTCAACCAACCTACCAAACCACATAGGTACCACTCGGACTTCATCTTCACATCTTACCTGGTGTGATTGAGAGTGGATTATTCTATGCATTTTGAAAATTGCACTGATAGTGTCTCAAAGTTTGGTGGTGAGTAGATGTAATTTCTGTTATGACTAAAACACATGGAACTGATGGATACTGTGTTGCACCCGACAGTCAAGCAATGCACAGCACAGGTTACATCTACTACACAATTCACCTAGTACTGATCTGACCCCTGTCTTTGAAGAACTGAGCAGCTAAAAGCAAAAAATGAAAATAAAATGCTGGAATATTCAAGTGCTTCAAATGTGTCAACCAAAAATGTATACACAATCCCGCACCACCCACTTTCATACCAATGTTTTCTGAAGTGTGGCACCATCCTTCACATCCTTTCATGCATTTTCATTTTGTCAACTTACAGGAGGTCCATCATGATTAGCTATGACTATTATGAGCTGTCTTAGCCTTTTTCTGAAACCAAAAAGACTTTCAATATAGATGTGCTCTTCAATGTTGTCCAAGACCTCAATTGTTTTCTTGCTTTCTGACAGTTAATCACGCTTCTTTTACAGCACACAAGTAAAATAATGGCTTGTGCCATGATTATTTCCAATTCTACATACAAAACTTAAAAGAATCAAGTAAATTAAGCCTAAAACAAGCACAAATAATGCTTGATAGGAGCTGCGCCAGACATGTAAAAATGCGCAAAATATCCGTATTTTTCGGGCTGCCGGCGTAAAGGGAATTATCCGTTCCGGAACGGATTTTTCCGATAAGGCTCATGTAAACGGGGCCACCGAAACGCATTTTTCCGTTCCCTGGCTAATCGGATATTTCCGTTTAGGCTGAATGACTCATGTAAACGGGGTAAGTATATCATAACCCAGCAAGGAGGCCTGGTCAAACAAGACAAACAGTAGTAAACGAGGTGAGGAGGGAAATGTAGAGAGTATTCCTCAGAACACACAAGCACACACACAATAATAATAATGATAACAGCAATAAAAGTAATAGCAATACATCCACTAAGTAGCCCCGGTCGGAAGCGTCGGCGATGGTCCCGGCAGTAACGAAGGCACGAGCTCGCACCCGCCCGTAACCGACGGTTCGGTCACTGCCAAAAAGAGCCATAGGAATGGGAAAGGATAAGGATGGTGAGGAAGGTGCCAGCCGCTGTCCGATTCAGCCCCTCGATGGCGAGGACACTGAATACAGACATATCTATGATTTGTGGTACTCCGGCGCCTTGATGGCAAGGTTAGCCGGAGCCGACTGTTGGCACCCTTTGAATGAGAGGAGTTTCGCACCCGCATCTCGATGGCGAGACACGGGAAGCGAGTTCAAACCAAGTGTCTCGATGGCGAGACCCTCGGCCGCCCCCCTCATTCACCTCAGGAAGACAGAAGGAAAAGATGACTTTTCAGGGAAGGACAGGTAGGGTGTGCATGATCATGCGCCAAAACTTGCCGCTTATAGGCTCCATCTGGTCCTAAACAGTCGATGGCCCCGCCTACACTGTAGTCACTGTACATACCATAGACGCGGCAACAGCGGGCGCACCGATCCCAGCAGCAGCAGCAGCAGCCGACAGTCCGGTCACCACCAGACGATGCAGCGGTGGACGGTCCGATCGGCGGCGACGGCGGCAGCACCGGCAGGCACGGGAGCACACAGCACCGGGCCAAGCCAGATAGTGCCGGCTCTACTCGAACTGACGCAGGTCCTCCTTGGAGCTGAGACGAACCGTCGCCGACTGCTGGGACTTTTTGACCTTGAGGACACATCCATCAGACCAGACGGCCCACAGTTTACCTTGACGCTTCAGCTGCCTTGCCTGGTACATTATTTCTTGGTTCCTCTTCGTCAGATTCTCTTGAATAAATACGTTTTTCATGACCCCCTCCGTCAAGCTGGAGCCCCGTGGCGGTTTTGCGCCTCTGAGCTCCTTCCGTCCAAACCAGACGGCCTCCCGTTTCAGGTACGACACGTACTTCACGATCAGTGGACGAGGAGGTGGGGAGCCTGGCCCGGGGCGGACGCCCGGGGCCTGCCCACACGATGAGCTCGGTCGATGTCGACCCTGTCCAGCTTGACGTTGGCCATCTTGGCGACGTCGATCGCCAGCTGAACCGCATTCTCGTCGCGGGCTTCGGGGATGCCGGTGAAGTTTAAGCAGTTACGCCGCGAGTACTGCTCGAGCTCGGCCAGCCTGTCGTTCTGCTCAGTGATCAGAACTTTTTGGGCCGCTACCTCTTGCTTCAGTTCCTTGATCTCCTTCTCCTTCTCTTCAATCCCGAACAAGCCTCGCAGCGTCGCTCTTACTTCGCTGTCTTCCAGCATTGCAAGTAGCGTCGTCTTCATTTCTCCCAAAACAGACATATTCTCTCACTTTCGCCTTACTGGACTGGACAGGAACGACACTAACACACCCACTGCTGCGCCGCACAAACTACTCGGCACCTATCCCTGAGCCGGGCTCTGGGCGCACTGACACCGGTCAAGGTCACGGGGTCACAGCGGTCGGGCGGAGCGAGGCCGGGCGCGTCTGACCCCGCGGCCGGTCATTGGAACACTGGAGAAGCCTTGCTGTGATGATGAACTATTCCTGCCATTACATAAGTGCGTCTATAATATTACGATGTAATTATGCTAAGGCGACGCTGTCGCGCCGGACTGCTCACCACGACGTATCCGTGTTCGCAGGTGCTCGGATCTCCGGGGATGTCGAGCTGGGTCAGCCGGACCTGGATCTGGTTGCCGATCGGCACCAGCACCGTCCACTCGCAGGTCAGTGTGCCGTTGGCGCGCGCCGGGTACCCCGGACTCTGGATGACACCGTTCGGAGCGCGCAGGAAGCCGCCGCAAACTGCCGAGTTAGGTACAGGTTGATGTTAATGTAACAAGCCAGCGCACTGCTTCTCATAATTAAGTCAATCGTTAAGCATTTTTTTTTAAATCAAGCAAATTCTCCTAGACGGCAGTGTAGTGTTTACGGTGCACCAAAATATTGATCTTACTAATACCATCTCTAATCCCATAAGCACATACAAAACATATCGCAGCTCCAATTATGCAATCAATGTTGTAAAGACTCCGCCCTTCAGTATTTGGAGAATACGTATGTCTTTAAGGTCTCAAAAGCTCAACGAAGCACATCGAATGCTTCCGTAGCGATCTGGAGCGAGGACTGACCGGTGTCGAGCGTGACGTTGAATCCGGCCGTGCTCCTGCGGTGGTAGAAGCGCTCCCTGAAGAAGGCCAGCTGCATCTGACTGCCGCTGGACGTCAGAACAGTGTTCCTGTCGGAGCGGTGGCACAGCGTGGAGAGCGGCCTCCAGTCGGCCAGGCCCTGGTACCCTGCGGACACACCGGAGAGTGTTGCTCGTCAGGAGGAACGGCGGCAGCCACCGGGCCAGGTGCTGTAGCCTGTGGCGAACAAATTACGTCAGACAGTTGACAGCTTCCAGGCCCGTGAAGGGGCGTGTGAGTGATCTTGCAATGCGCTCAAACTTATCTCTAACGAGCCATTATGCTTTATCTTTATAAGCGGCCACTGACAAATTTCAATGCTTCGAATCATTTTAAAAGAAACAGCTCCAGGCCGGGAGCATCATCCTTGGTTCAGTCCCTTCGTTCTAATAATACAGCTTGCTAAATGTCATCACCCTGCCCCGCCTGGCTGCAAGTACCGTCGTAGACGGTGAGATTGTCGGCTGAGCACTGGTAGTAGTTGTAGAGCTCCATCGTGTTGACGGTGAGCCGGACGCGCCGGTGCGGGTCCGAGGTGACCGTCCACCGGCAGGTGGGACCGCTCTCGTAACCGCCCGGGAAGCCGGGGGACGTCACCAAGGTCCGGTTCCCCTCCTCCAGGTACAGCGAGTACGAGCAGTCCTCGCCGTCTGCGCACAAAGGTGGTCACGGCACTCAGTGTGAAGAAGCTTTTCTCAAGGACCATTTATTACTGAACATAAAATACAAAATAAACCTTCTTACGTGTACCTAAATATTGATGAATCAATTGCATTATGCTCTCACCAAAGCCATAATTTCATCGCATTTTCAAACAGAAACAGTACATACCTATGCCCGATAGTTGTCCGGGCGCGGGCGCCTCGCTCAGCCGCCGCCAGAACAGTGTGAACAGGGAGCCGGCGTAGCGCGGGTTGCTTACGAACTCGACAAACAGCTCGTTGGTGGTGGACACCACCGGCTCGTGGGCCTCCACGCCGCAAACGCTGCCCGTCAGCGGCTCGGCCGTGCTGTCCGAGCCGTCGTATATCTGAGGAACGTCGACGGCGAATGTAATGCGCCGCAGCGGAATATTGACATAAGAACATAGGTGGAATGACAGTGGTTTCGAGTTGTCATCTTTGTGTCTTATCATCCAGCGAACAAATTTTGACTGAAGCGTGTGTGAGAGATACACAGGATTACCTTGAGGTACGAGCGACAGCCGCCGCCGAACGGTGCGAAATCTATCGCCTGTCGTATGAAGTTCAGCTGGATGAAGTTTCCGATGTCGACGCTGATTCGCCAGCTGAACCGATCCCGCTGCATGTATTTCATGGGGTACAGAGGCGACCGGATGATACCGGAATTGCCAGTCAGCTCCATGTAGTGGGCTGGAAACGATTCGAACGGCGTTATACAATGCTAACGAATAGTGTTTGTCTATTTCAAACAGCCTGCGGTTATTAGGGAAGAATCGTCACAAAGAATCATGTTTTTGAAATGAGCATCAAACCACACGCTCACACAGAGCCAAACTGGCATCATTGAGATAAATCACTATTCCTGAAAGAAGTCGACAGATATGCGCACTTTCCCTGGAAAATTCAAAACAAACTTTTCTAAAACATGGCAGATTGATTAGTTATCGACCTCTTTCTGTCCATGTGCACAGCTCACCTAGTGAGAACTCGGCGAGGAAGCCGGAGCTGGTGCCGGCGCCGTTGGTGTGGAAGCGCACGTACATGGTGCTGTTGGAGCTGATGTTGGTGGGTGCTGTGGAGCCGCAGACGTGGCCGAGCAGAGGGCCCGTCCTGCGCGCCTCACGGATCTGTCAGATAGGCAGACGGAGACCGGGTGGTGAATGGCCAACAGAGGGAGTGAGGGAGGGGAGAGCAGAAAAGAAGGGAGGAGAGGGAGAGGACAGGAGAAGAGAGCAAATGGGAGGGGTGACGAGTCACGAGGATGCATGCGAGCATCGACCTTGTCCTATAATTTCGGTATAAATATCCAGAGTCCAGATTTGTGTGCTGACTTGACACTCCCTGATCGGATGGAGAAATACGCTTTCCAATCACATTTCATTTTCATAAACTCGGACCCTTGAAGCCGGTAAGACAGGCTGAAAGTACCGACCTCCAGGTAGTCGCCGTTGCAGTTGTCGGTGGCCTCCAGGTCGAAGGCGTGGAAGCTGAGCTGGATGCCGTTGCCGCGGGCGGCGCCGATCCGCCACCAGCAGTCCACGTCGTTGGGGTAGCTGTCCGGGTAGCCCGGCGAGGCCAGCATGCCCGTCTGTGAGAACAGCGTGCCGCCGCAACCTGACGGAGTGCCGCGCAAAGAGCGTCAGCGGAGGTCGACCGGTTCCTGATGAACTCGCTATTTATCTGGCACAGGCGGCAGGTACTTCGAAACGTTATACGGGAGCACAATTCAATTACATCTGTTTCAATTCAACACATGAAGCACATAAGATGCTGGGACTTCAAAACTGATTAAAAGTAAAGCTGCACATACCTAGTTACCATCCACAAGATATAGAAGATAGAACAGTTAATTGTATCTGCTCACAAAACAGAGAGTCATTATAACGCACCCGTGGAGATGTTGTTGAATGTGGCGCTGAAGCGAACCACCACCGTCTCGGAGACCTGCAGTCGCAGCTGGAGCGCCCTGCCGCGCGAGGTGAGAGCCGGGGGGACCCGCGCGCCGGCGCAGTAGCGGTGCTTCAGCGGCGCGTCCGGGCCGGCGCCCTCGCGGACCTCCAGGTAGTCGGTGGAGCAGTTGACGGGCCCCAGCTGGCCGTACATGGACAGTGCCGTGAACTGCAGCCACACGTGACTCCCTGCCGGAGGGGAATGGTGATCCTTCGTCAACGGGCATGTCTGTAAATGTATTTCAAATGCTGTCAATCATTAATTTGTCGATTTGTTCCTAAGCACTTTCATAAGAAACTTTGAGTTCTCACTTTTTGGTCTGTTACTGAAAGCAAGAAGGGGGCCGATTCAGCGGCGATTAGACGGCATTAAATTGGCTGGCCAGGATGTGCACTGTCTCAATAATTCACACCAAATCGGTGTGTGATTTGACACCGTCTCACCGGGATCCATGGTCTGCAGAGTCCAGCTGCAGTTCAGGCCGCCCGTGAGCTCCACAGGGTAGTGGGGCGAACTGATCACTTGAGAGTAAGACGTGACGTTTATGATTCCGCCGCAGCCCTGCGAACGGTGTTGAAACGATCCGTGACATATACCGAGGCATTGCTTTTGGCACCTAAGTAGTTATTTGTGCGCGCCTATTTGCTCAGAACGTCTCGGTATCGTTTAAATAGCGTCACAGCACAATTGACACGAATAACATTGAAATAAAAAAGCATTTCATCCGCTTCTCATTCCACCCCTTGATGCCATCTTTTGACACACTCTTCCCCGAGCTCCTACCATGGTGTACTTTGCCAGGAAGCCCTTGGCCGTTCGCGATCCGTCTGCCTTGAGTCGGATGTACATCCAGTTACTGGTGGAGACGATGGTAGGCGGTTGGGGGACCTCGTTTCCGCAGTGTTGGAGCAGCAGGGGCGAGCGGCGTGAGTAGCCGTCCCGCACCTGGAGACGATCGGAGCGGTCAGACGGCGCAGTGGGGCTCACATACTAACGTAAGCCTAGCTGTGATTAGACCGCTCAGCGCAACCTAAATACAGACTAGCGTAAGACGCTGAGTGGTCTAGCTTTAGTTAGACCGCTCAGCGCAACTTACAGACTAGTGTAAGATTGGCATTGCGGTACAATGATAAAATAATCAGTGAAAATCGTTATGTGGCGATAAATAAAATAAATGACAAGTGATCGTCGATTATTGATTAGGATATAAAATAATTGGTTTGCCAAGAAACGTGATTCCTTTATGTAATTTATCACGCACGCTTCATCCAAAAGCTGCTCTACCAATCACGAACCTCCACGTGGTCGTACGAGCAGTTGTTGTGCGGTTCCACGTCGAAGTCCTCGAAGGTCAGTTTGATGTTGTGGTGAGGTTTGACCCGGATACGCCACACGCAGTCGGCGTGGTCGTCATACACTTGCGGGTAGTTTGGCGAGTGAATTGAGCCACTCATGGCCGTGAAGCGACCGCCGCAGCCTGTGGGCAGCGAAAGGGATGACTGCTTGTATGAAAAAGCCTCGAGCGAACTCTATTCACACAGAGAAAGCGCAGAACTAGGTTTGTGCACACCGCGCGGCCGAAAACTCATGACAAGAGATCTCGCAAGCCTTCGCCGTGAACGCTGGAAGCGGCTCGCTGAGCAGTCGTACCGTTTCTGCGTCTCCGGTAGCGGGCGTGGAAGCCGGAGCCGGTGACGGAGCTGTCGCTGCTGAACCGGACCAGCATGGTGTTCCCCTGTGACGTGACCACGGTGCTGGAGGCCTGGTGGTGGCACAGGCTGACCAGCAGCGGCGCTGTGACGTCGGGACCTCCGTACACCTGACCCAACGCGACAGGACGTCAGGGGTTCGAACACTGAAAACAGTTTAACCCAGGGCCGGCGAGTAAACCGGTGTTTCGCGGGTACCCCTATCCGCAACCATTTTTAACCACCCTCCCAGGAGTACAGTAAGGTCCCATTGCAGTGTGGCCGTATCTGCCTCAGCGGTTATATCCGCTCAGAGCAGGTATGACTAAAAGGGGTTACCCTCCACGCCTACCCTTCGCCGACCAAGTCACGAGGGCCAAAAAAACTCCCACGCTTGCCCATATTTAAAGGTAGTGTGCCAGCTTTCCTGGACCGTATGGAGTTAATGGCCCAGATAAGGAGAACCGGATTTTTAGAACTTATCCATACCTTCAAAACTCATGGATACGTCTTAAATTCTTCAAATTTTGAGTACCCCAGTGCGAAATTCGCCCCGACGGGTTGTCGGTCGTACCCCAACCACATTTCACACCACTATGAACAATAAATGCACACACTGAAATCGCTATTACCGATATGCTCATCCAATCAAGTTTCGATAAACCCGTTCATCATCATCTCCTGCGGTTTCGAACACGCCTGTTAGGTGGTGCGGTAGACCGCGCCCAAAGCCAGGGCCCCGGTAACGTGAGGTAGCCGAGTCGGGGCAGCGTGCGCTGACCCAAGCCGGGGCCGCGCGTCCTCCCGGTGTCATGTGATAGCCCGGGGCTGCCCGCGGGGATGCGGTAGACCGCGCCCAAAGCTGCGGCCCCGGCTTGGGTCAGCGCACGCTGCCCCGACTCGGCTAACTCACGTTACCGGGGCCCTGGCTTTGGGCGCGGCTTCTGCTCATACTTTGTGGTGCGGTGGTGGTGCGTCGGGCCGCGCGCTCTGACTTCGTCCAAGAAAAATGCGTCAGCTGATCATTGTCATTTCTGCCACTTGCGTGTGGTGAAATGGGGTCATAACTTAAGAGACGGCTTTTTCATATCAATTATTTTACATAAAATCATATTTCAAACCATAAATAATGTTCGACAGCCAAATAAAAGAAACAATACCAATACAGGCTTACAGTTTAAGGCTCGACATTGTGTTGTCTACGATTAGACAGCTGATAACTCATTCCCGTACGTCGTAACTCTATAATGACCTTTGCTTATTGTCACATGTGCGCCGCATTCGCGATTGTTGCCGACGCCTGTTTGCAGGTCAGCCCACTACAGTTGTTATACATATCGAAAAACCGATAAACTTTTAGGCGAAAAAGGCACTATTCCAGGCCCATTTTTGATTTCCTTTGCGATATTAGGTAAAAACAGAAGTTTCTTATCCTAGGAAAAATAAAATGGGAAATCTTTCAAAGGTGGCACACTACCTTTAAGGGAAATTATCTATATTGTGACAATCTCACACCTAGAAAACATCGGTGAGAAAGATTCACGTCGGTGGGAACGGTCAAAACGAATTCCCATAGAAAATTCGACATTATCCAGTCACCGGTAGTCGTACATACCGCCCGAGATCAAGAAGATGTCTCGCGACTGCTTTCGTGACCTATATAAGAATCAAAATGGTCTCACTAGGTAGTTTCGGAAGAAAAGGCGTTGCCAATCGTCCCGTGATGAATATTGCAGAGGTTTTAAAGATGCATCCTAACAATTGTACTTTCCCCCCAACTTGAAACCGCCAAACAATGTGCCAATATATCATTGGTGCAAAAAAAAGTTAAAAAATTGCTGTAATTCAAAACTGTATGAGACAACGCCATCTAGTTGTGCCAGTAGCTCCAACTCCTTCAGGGCAGGTTATGTAAAGGTTCGCCATCCACGGATACGCGTTTACGATATCTCGAGTAGTTCCAACTCTTTCAGTGAGGGCTATGCCAATGACTCGACACCCGCGGGGACAATATCCGGTGCTGAGTAGCTACCTTACTGCAGACTGTGGGTACGGTGCATATTTACGAGTAATAAGGCAGGCAAGTCTGCTAACCCTCTAGCTAGAATCTGGACATGGCGAGTTAATACACATATACCACCCGCAGAGCAACGCTTAACCCGCGCCCCACTGGGGTCTGTGTATAACACGCCCTACTGGGGGGGGGGCTATTCATAGCCCCCCCTCCTAACTCCGAAACTACTGGGCCGATCGTCAAAATTCAAACGGCGTCTGATAGCCCCGGAAAAACTGTCGAGCGAAACCTAATTTCATTGACCTCGAGGTCACCGATGACGTCACAGGTCAGGTCAAAGTAAAAATTATTGGCATTTTGGCTTGTTCACATTTTGGGCTCTGGCCGCCGTCTTACAAGTCAGATCAGGCTCATTTTTGGTTTCCACACTCGTGAACAGATTGTCTAGATACCTTGAGGGTACCAAACTTGTACTTTGATTTTCAGGTCAGGGTCAGGTCATCACAGGTCACGAAAATATTATACCATGCGTCGGTCACGTGACACATGTTTTATGGTCCATTTAGGCCATAGATTTCGAATTTGATGTCGTGTGTGTCATTCGAGGTCATTTTGAGTCGAGTTTAGCTTAGGTCAGGTCACTTTCAGGTCAAAAAAGGTCAAATTTTGAAGTTAAAATTTTTCAACAAAAAAGGTGTCTATTGGATGCAGTTTGAGCTCAGGAACACGATGGTGCCATTTATATTGGTGTACGATGTCAAATACGTACTGAAAAATTGATTTGAAAAATTAATAATTGTGAATTTTTTGCAATAATGCGTATAACTTGGCCATTTTTGAAGATGTTTAGCTAAAACTTGCTAGAGTTAGTCATAATCATGCGTTCTGTCACATATATTCCGGTTTTTTCGAAAAGTCAAAAACTTTTTGAAAAAAATATAAAAATATAAATTTTGAATATTATTATATAAAATTTTCGAAACTTTCAAAATTTTGAAAATCCGAGATAGCAGTTTGATAGCGCGGTCAATTCTGAGTCCTTTCATGCAAAGAAATTGGATCTAGCTTAAAAACTGAGCTCTTGGGAGCGATTGCCGTGGTTCAATGTTTTGCGTCGAAATCGGACGAACATGACGTCACTCTGACGTCATTTCCGGCCGACCTATGGTATCTACGAAGTTCAAATTTTGACACAAGGTGTCAAATTGATGCAGCCGAAGGTACTGAAAGTTTGGCGTCGATCCGTCAAGCGGTTTGGAAGTTATTGCAGAAAAACGGGAGGGGGGGCTATAAATAGCCCCCCCCCCAGTGGGGCGCGGGTTAATTCGCCAGCTTCGGGTAAAATTGTTTTCAGTGAAGTTACGACAAAATCGTCCTACAAGCATATTGTTGCGACATCCCTCACCAGAAAATTCATTGCTTATATTCCCAGATGCTCGGCAGCTTACCTTCAGAGAGTCGAAGATGCAGTCGTGGATGGCCTCGATGTCATACCGGTCGATGGTGAGCTGGATGCTGTTGCCTGGTGGCACCCGAATCCGCCACTCACAGTCCGTGTTGCTCGGGTACTGGCCAGGATAATTGGGAGACTGGAAGAAGCCTCGCTTCTCCGTTAGAAGGCCGCCACAACCTGAAGGAACAACGTCACTTCTGATGCGCACGATGTGTCTAGCGTCTAGCCTATCTGTGTGCGAGGTGCCTGTCGAAACTTACATCCACTGGCCACCAGAGAATCAGAAGTTACTCAAACGAGCGACTGTATCCACAGGACGATACGCTTAGGTAAGCACGATTGAGTCAACACTGCTTAGTAGTTCACCTTATAAGAGATTAGGCAAGGAAAATTTCAGATCACTGGATAATTCAGTCTGAAATAAAGCAGTAAACCACATTAGAGTAAAGGGGAAGAGGTATTTCTGACGCACCATTCACCATCCACTCCAGTCTGAAGCCGTTGTGGGCCACGGAGGCGTCCGACTTGAACCTCACGTAGGCGATGCTCTTGTTGGTCGATATGGGCTCCGGCAGGTAGCCAGTGCCGCACATGTGGGAGCCAATCGGCGTCGGAACCTCGTCGTCATCCCCCTCCTTGATCTGGGAACGTTTTCAGATTCGCTAAATTCTCAAGCCTATTTAGCATGTGTTTGACGACAAGCATGGCATCCTGCAGGAGGTAGTCTGTAGCCATCTGTCGACGCGGCATGCGAACATATTTAAGTACAAGGTATTTCATTCGCCCTTTTATCTTCTACTCCGTCATAAGCATATCAGCAAAAATAATGTGGCAACTAAAACACCGCATCTGGGTCGCAGCGCCAGGCGCCAGGCACACTCATACCTCCAGAAAGTCGTACTCGCATCCGGACGAGATCGGATCTTCCACGTCAAAGTGAGAGAAGGAGATGTTGAGCGCGTTACCGCGCGGCGCCTTGATGGTCCATGTGCAGTCTCGGTCGTGCGGGTACCGGTTCGGGAAGTTCGGGGACTCGATGACTCCCCGATGACCCGTCACCACGTTGTTGCAATCTGCAACAATAAAAATGAACGTTTATTTTACATACATCGCCAGAAGCTCACCGATAATAGGGACTATCAAGGTGGTGATTTTACACGCAAAGCCGATAGCTTACAAATTTCAGTGACTATTAGGGTGGCATTGTCAGTTTGTTTTGTAGGCACCTCAAAATTCCGATTTAACACGCGCAGTGGAAGGGTTGCGAGTACTACGCCCAGTGGAAGGGGGGGGGGGCGGATGTCGCCCCCCCCTAAGATCTCAGCTCCCACTGGAGCTAGAAAGACGAAATTTCGAGGGTAGGTGGGGGCCATGGGGAACTCTGTTGTGTGTGAATTTCATGACCCTAGGTCAATATCTTCAAGGTCAAATGAGGTCAAATGTGGTCAAATCTGCCATATTAGCGACTTTTTTGCGTTTACACGCCGATAACTCAAAAAGTTACCGGCCGATTTTTTAAAAACTTTCACTATACGAAAGAGCAAACATTTGTGAGTATGTATGGTGAATTTCTAGATAATCCAACAATAAATGTGGCAGTTAGAAGCCTGCTAAGGGTAAGATGTCGCCGGCTGAAGCGGCGTCGGCCGACGCGGGAAACGCGGCAATCACAATTTTGTGTTTACACACTCATAACTCAAGTTGTTACCGGCCGATTTTCAAAATTCTTTGACCATATGATTGCCTGTACATTTCTCAGTCTTCTCACCGAATTTGACGCGAATCTAATATAATCAGCGGTAAGGAGCGCGATGTAAAGACGGAACCGTCCCGCCCCGGCACAGTCTACAATTCAGGCGGCGCGTAACGGCTAGCGCCGGCCGCCGCGCCGCCGCGCCGCCGCGGCGGCAGGATGTTTGACTTTACACCGCTATTACTAGAAAAGTTGTGAACCGATTTTCTTACTTCTTGCACGAGAAGATCCGCAATTCAATTCTGGACAGGTAGCCGAAATTTCACATTGATATTATGCTTGCAGCGCGAGTTATTGGCGAAAAACAGGAGGGGTGGGCGAAATCCGCCCCCTTCCACTGCGCGTGTTAAGACATGCACTCTTATGCCTGGTTGTGTAGTCGACTCACCGACTCTGTAGCGGGCGTGGAAGCCGCGGCCGTTGAGAGAGATGTCGGTGACCATTCGGATGGTCATCAGGTTGGTCGTGCTCTCTATGACATCCAGCGGGGCCGTGTCACAGAGTCGGTGCTTCAGCACCGCCGACCGACCGACGCCATCGTACACCTAGCGGCGGCGAGTCAGGCAAGTGTGAGTGGTATGAAGGCGACTCGGGCTGGTTGGCGGGGTGACCTCAAGCTGGCATAAAATACTACGGTCCGTGCGTGTCTGGCAAGTGTCAAAGGTGAGAAGAGCCACTGCGGAGGCAGGCGTGAGTGGTGGGAAGGTGACTCATTCTGGATGGCGGAATAACCGCAAGTTGGCATGAAAGACTCCCATCCTATATTTTGACGGGTTTCTTGCCTTCTTTGGGACAAGCTCACCTCGAGGAAGTCGAACCGACAGTTGGTGGCGGTCTCCAGGTCCAGGTCGAGGATGGAGAGTCGGACCTTGCTGCCGGCGTTCCCGGCGATGACCCAGGTGCACTCGGCGTTATGGGCATACGGCTGCGGGTAGCCGGGCGACGTGAAGCTGCCCTCGGGCCCTGTCAGCTGACCGCCGCACCCTGCCGAAGGACAAGTGTCGCTAAACGTTCCATCGGTCACTTAGGCTGGTATGAGTTATTGTTGTTTGTCAAAATAAAGATGCACCACCTGAATTGAAACGTAAATGTTTATTTAGTTATCTTTGATTGGAACAAAGTTTTCCATTACATTTTGTCAATATGCTGTTACATTTTGAATGTCTTAGTAATTAATTGGAGTGTAGGTACTTTTATATTCACTTTCCTCTGATACATCTCAGCAATTGACGACACAAAAATCAAAATATCAGTTAAAGCTCAAAATGCACCAGGACACAAGCCCTCAGCCTTGGCCCCACTTCTCGCACCTGTGGCGGTGGCGTCCCAGGTAACCCGGAAGCCGGCACCGGCCATGGACGAGTCGGTGTGTAACCGCAGGAACAGGCTGTGCGCGTGGGAGGTGATCCGGGGCGGCACGGTGACGCCGCAGAACCGGCCGACCAGGGGCGCCGACTCAGCGGCTCCGTTCCTGGCGTCACAAACATTGATAGTTAGTCACATTCGGCGACGAACGGAACACATTAGCAAACTATAGCTTCTTCAAAGTGAGCCTCAAGCAGCGTAATGGGTTAATGCGTGAACACATCGCACTAACCGTATTTCCAAGTAGTCGTAGCGGCAGTTCGGGTGTTCCTCCAGGTGGAAATGGGAGAAGTTCAGCATGATCTGCTGGTTAGCCGGCGCCTCGATGGTCCAGACGCAATCCTTGCTCGGCGGGTAGTTGTAGGGGAAATTGGGAGAGGTGATCTCGCCGTACGCGGTGTGGTACGATCCGCCGCACACTGGGGACAGAGCGACACGCGGACTGACGCGACGTCTGCGCGTCCGTCTACAGTGGGGAGGGGTGCGATCCGCCGCTTACTTGGCACGGCGAGGTTCCGTGATACCAGGCAGGTGACAAACGGCATGCCAAAGTGCAGGACTGCTGGCAATTGGTAAAAGTTTGCACCAATATGGATACCCTGCATGCATCCGTCATTGAGCAGCTCACTCTTTTTCAACATAAAGCTTATAATTATGATTCTATGGCAATGCAATTTTAACCGTTGACGGAGTTCAATATTTGTCATTAAAACTTGCAAATATTGCAAGAAATTTTCATTCAAATCTTATGAACCGACATGTAGAAGCGTATAAGGTAATACCTTGGTAATACCTACACTAGGGATATAATATCTGGTTCAACCATGCATTGCGAGCAGCCTGCGCTAGGCGTTCACTCTTCGACGATATCCGCAAACATTCAACCGTTCACGCTAACCGTCCTTTTTTAGGATAATGCCCCGCAGACGACGTCACTCACTGGTGCTGGCGTTGATGGATGCGTATGAGGCCGAGAAGCCTTCGCCGGTGATTGACTCGTCCGCGCGGAACTTGATCGTCATGATGTTACCCATCGTGGTCATTGTCGGCGGAAGCTGAGAACCGCAGTATCTGGGGACGTGCGAAACAAACAAAGGTTAGGTCAGTTCTGTATGTCAGGCAAGAAGTCAAGATAATAGGCAGCAGCCAGTAACTACCCTTCCCCTGTTACTTCATATGTAGAGTTGATCTGAAAATGTATGCATTGGTTTCTTTCAACCAGTTGGACAATCCGCAGTGAAATAAACCCTTTTTAGAATTTTTGTTTGATTTTAAATTATAATTGAAATTATGTCCACAGTGTGACAATTTATGTCATGTTCAGAGTTAATCCCAAACGGTTTGCATTGCAAGTTCAGTGCGACTTAATTAGTGTATGCGGCGGCCATTCGCGTTCTGTGACCAATCAGCTTGTTGTTTGCGCGACCTTTTAGTTATGTTTGTGCGGCCACTTACGGTCTGTGGCGATCAGGTTGTTGTTCGTGCGGCCTAAGGGCTTTGTACGGCGGCCAATCACGGTCTGTGGGCTGTGGCCTTAAGGCCACAGACTGTGACGGCCACAGGCCATAGATTCGTGACTGTTAGAGGACTATTCGACTACTCGTATACGGGAAGTATTTTTGACAGATATTGTTTGTGCGGCGGCCACTCACGGTCTGTGGCCGATCACGTTGTTGTTTGTGCGGTCAGCGGCGGCCACTCACGGTCTGTGGCCGATCAGGCTATTGTTTGTGCGGCGGTCACTCACGGTCTGTGGCCGATCACGTTGTTGCTGGAGAGGGCCGCCGCCGAGCTGTTGTCGTACACCGTCACCGTGTCGTAGCAGTGGCCGTCGCGGGTGGGCCGCTCCAGGGAGAACGCCAGCCACGTGAGCCGAATCACCTGACCTACCGGGGAGAACGCCAGCCACGTCAGGGGAGAACGCCAGCCACGTGAGCCGAATCACCTAACCTACCGGGGGAGCGCAATAGTGAGACGACTTCTCAGGCGTTTCGTGGCTGTTAGAGGACCATTCGACTACTCGCATACGGCAAGTATTTGCCAGATCTGTCCACTGGATCGGTCTACAAGAGTTGATCAGTGATTTCCAGGGCCATGCAGTTACGCGCATGGGCCCAGCTCGGAGAGGCCATGGTCGGGCGGCAGGACTCACCGGGCGGCCGGTGGATGACCCAGCTGCACTCCACGCCGTTCGGGTACTGCTCCGGGTGTGTCGGAGACGTGAACGTGCCGTGCTCCTCCTCCAGAATCCCGCCGCAGCCTGCAAATGGGAAAATGTGACCATCGCGTGAAGTAAATCGCTAAGGCAATACAGTAATCGATGTCTTTTTTTAAGTTATCCTAGATTTTATCCCCAAAGCCTTGAAATCTTAGAAATATAATTTAGCCATCATTTGATTCTTTTCAGTCCACTGCTACATAAATTGACCATGAAATAGTACCGGGCTAACGACCGTCGCGTCGGTGGGGTGGGAGCGTCTCTTTTACGCTAATGCTATGACAGCTCGGCGTCAGCGTAGAAGGTATGCTGTGCCGGATAGCACAGAGGCGCTGCGGCGCAGCCTACCCACCCGGTTAAAAGTTTGTCATTGTGATGGAACTGATGGAAGACACTGCCCTGGCTTCTCACCGATGTCGATGGCAGTATAGTTGGCCACGAATCCGTAGTTGGTCACAGAGGCGTCGGTAGAGAAGACGACATACATCTGGTTGTGAGTCGACACAAGGTTTGGCGGCGGCTCGTCGCAAAACTTCCCCAGTGATGGGAATGTGGCGTCCTTTCCGTCAAACACCTGAGAGTAGACAGAAGAAAATATGAACTACTCGGCAGTCAGCACTAAACACAGATACGATTTCTGACTGACAGAGCTCAAAGATTGAACTTGCATATACTTGTTATGCTCTCAATCTCCTGAAACCTGACACTGCGGAGGATATTGGCTATTTCGACCGTTGTAATTCAGCGATATATGTATAATGGTCATAGCGTTTAAACTTGAAATGGTTCCGTAGAAAACTTGTAAATCTCTTTTCTCGTAGTCGCAGTTGATCAGCAGCACTTGCCTCCACGTAGTCGTAAGCGCATCTGAAGTGGTTCTCGATCCGAAAGTCTGTGAACTGCAGTGACACGATGCTGCCCACCGGCTGGCTGATCAGGTAGCCGCACTGCTTGTTGTGCGGGTACGGCTGCGGGTAGTTTGGTGAGTGGAACGATCCAGTAGGCTCCGCGTAAATACCACCACACACTGCCGGGCAAAATGCGCTGCGGTCGCTTCAATAGCTCCACAATACATACTCGTATTACATAACCTTTCATAGGTACCACAATAGGTTTAAATAAGAATCCCACTTTTGAGTTTTAAAGATGGTGTATTAATGCCACGGATTATTACACTGGCAAGTTCCATTCCATGTGCAATCGCACTGTCGCATGCATGATATCGCTGTTAAAACTTATCGGTAGATGATGATATATTTAGTAATTATTTAGTGAGTTCTGCATTGTTTGTGCATGTCAAATGCAACAGGTCTTTGTCCATTAGACGTCGCCTTTGCCCCGAGCCGGAACACTCACGTATGTCGTAGGTGGCCGAGAAGCCGCCGTGGGCGATGCTGATGTCGGAGAAGAAGCGGACGTAGAGCTGGTTGGAGGTGCCGACCACCGGCGGCGGCACGGACTCTCTGCCGCAGTACCGGCCAACCAGCGGACTGTCCGGGTCCGGTCCGTCCCGGATCTGACACCGATCGAAATAGCCCGTCACGGGTGGGAAGGGGGTGGGATAGTGCCACTCTATGTGATAAAATGTTGAATGGGGCATCCTTCTGGGCTCTTCATTGCTTGCTATATAATGTATGAAGTGATGTTGAGGACTGGGGGTAAGGTTTGCATTCCGGTAATCACATTTGAGCTATTCGGCTTACGTTGAGTTTACTGAAGAGTGGAGACCCGAATGCGTTAAATGTTTCATCCCTTTCTGAATCACTGGAAAACGAGTCTTCCGATGAGACAACACCACCTACCTCCACGAAGTCAAAGATGCAGTTACGGCTGAATTCCAGTTCGAAGTGGTCCACGACCAGCTGCACCCTCTCTCCGGCGGGGACGCGGATCCTCCACTCGCAGTCCATGTTGTGGTGGTAGCGCTCGGCGTGGGTCGGGGTCGACAGGGTGCCCCGCTCGCCGACCAGGTCACCGCCACAGCCAGGGATCCCTGCCCCAGAGAGCCGCAGCGTCAGCCACAGCGGCAGACAGCCACGGCGGCCGCCGAACGGCTCCGGGTAGGCTGTGCCGCGGCGCACCGGTGTAATGCGGTACAGTCTACCTACCATCTGAATCGCAGATTCCGGACCGGCGCGGCGCGGCTGTAGGCACTCTTTCGTTCATCTATTCTTCACACATGCGCCAGTTACGTATGGATATAAGTCACTCAAAAGATATCATTTTAAGTTTTTTTTTCTAAAACGTTAAGAAAAAAACGTATCAACTGTCAAATTCTTCATCAGACACCGTTCGGTTTACGAATCAAGCTCCGCGCTAGTCGCTAAAAGTGACTCCTGCGTATTCTGGTCGGTATATCGTGGACAGATGGATGTCTGTATTGCCGCTCTCACCGGGTATCTGCGAGTAGGTGATGTGGAAGCCCTGGTCGGAGGCGCTGGCGTCTGTGTGGAAGCGGAACCAGGCGTACGGGCCGGAGGTGGTGATGGGCGCCGGCAGGGTGGTGCTGCAGTAGCGCTGCAGCAGCGGCGCGCCCTCCGTGTAACCGTCGCGGACCTGCGCGACAAAACAACAGCTACTCAATGATAGCTTCTCAGTGGCAGCAGTTTAAAGGGACTATCCCACCTTAAAAAACACCGTTTGTGATTCGGAAATGTTACTCATGATATCGTGACGAATTCTGCAAGTTTTTACGCGTTTTCATCGTAAACTTTTTGAGATATTGCGACTTTTATATTTCATAGTGACGTCATTTAGATCGAATCTGTGACGTAATGAAGGAATTACTTCATGTCAATGTGGGGGAAAATTTGGCAGCAAATATATTTGCTCTCAAATATGACGCGGCTCATACAGCAACAAAAGTGTCTCTGATTGGCTTATTCGTAAATCAAGTGATACTTCAATTGAATGCGTGACAGGCGTTCAAAAGGCAAATGACGTCATCAGATTGCCGTTAATGGTTAAAGGGACCCTCCCACCTTAACATTAGTTTTGAGTTGAGATAGCCAAGTTTGCGGCCATGCTCAGAAACCACCATTTATCCTGGTCGCAACCCCCGCAGCTTTATGGTGTTCAAGAAATTTCTTCCCTTTACTTGCAGGGTGGGACCAGCGTGGTCCCTATCTCTTAACCATTACGGGAATCTGATGACGTCATCAGGCTTTCGAACGTCCGTTAAATGTTTGACTAAAACGTTTTGTAGCACGCGGTGGTATATGCAACTTTGCGCGCAACAAATGCCGCACTTTCAAATAAAGTCGCTAGGAACAGCGGAGATCCCAAAAAGTAAACAAAGGTAAAAGTCTAATATCTTGAAAATCGGTGAATATTTTTCGATGAAATTTGGTAGATATTCGTTTTTGCTCTTTCTGAACCGAGCGACATCACTTTCATGCCAATTCATTAACTTTTTTGAAGGTGGGAGGGTGATTGGGACTTGTACAGGGAACATTTTCAAATGAAGGGAACGAATTTCTTCAACACCACGTGGCTGCGGAGGTTGAGACCAAGATAGATAGTGGTTTCTGAACCTCGCCGCAAACTTGGCTATCTCAACTCAAACCTAATGTAAAGGTGGGATAGTCCCTTTAATGGCAACCGCTCAAAGAAGGTGCGCGCAATGCACAGTGGTTAATGTTGTAGTTATATTTGTTTTCTCTTCTTCCGTCAGTCTTCGTCTTCTTACCCACCTCTGTATCGCTGTCCGTCTTTATCTGTCTCTCCCTCCCCCCCCCCACTCTCCTTTTCTCTCAGTCTGCAGTCTATGCCCACATTTGAAAAGTGATTGTTAACGTATCCTTTGGACCTATCTCACCGACTGACTGACCTCCAAGTAATCGTAGCTGCAGTTCTCGTGGTGCTCCAGCCGCAGTACGGCGAACTGGAACTGCAGTCGGCGGCCGAGTGGCGCCTCCACGGTCCAGACGCAGTCCCGGCTGTGCGGGTACTGACCCGGGTAGCCCGGCGAGTTGATACTGCCGTACGGATCGGTCAGCTCGCCTCCGCACTCTGTAAGGAACAGCAGGTGAGAGGTGAAAGGCGAGAGATGAGGCTGACAGTCAAATGAGAATATTCACTGATTTTTCATCGCGCAAGTAACGTATACTTTTTGTGCTTCGTATTTGTCGATATCGGACCCATTAGTGATCGCAATAAATGTGCGGAACGATGTGATAATAATTAATATAATAATAAAATGATACAGCTATTTCACATGTTTTTTTCAGTCATTTATCTAAACGTTTGTAGTGTGACTGGGCAGTCCAATCACTGACGTGGGTCGGTGGCGTTCCAGTGCATGGCGAAGCCGCTGTGCGCCTCGCTGTGGTCCGAGTGGAACCACATGTAGAGCAGGTTGTGCGTGGTGACGATGCTGCCGCCGCCGGGGGCGCGCGTGCCACAGAACCGGCCGCCGCCGATCACCGGCGCTAGGCTGTTGGCGCCGTCATGGAGCTGTCGGCAGGGGGGAGGCGGGGGACGGGTAAAGTAATAGGATAACAACACTGGCCAGGCTTTTGGCACCGTTATGGAACTGTCGGCACGGGGGAAGAGGGCAGGAGTACGGTAACGAAATAGCAACCCTGGCCGGGCTGGTGGCGCCGTCGTGGAGCTGTTGGTACAACGGTGGGAGGAGGGGGAGGGGTTAGGTAATGGGATAACAACCTTGTAACAAGATATACCGCGATCTGTCAGTGGGGAATGCATGAGTGGGTCAACATAAAGTGACCGAAAAAGTGGAGAGTAAGTGATTGAGGCACCGTGACGGAAAAAGAGACAGGTCACTGCGACGTGACATTAACACGTATTTTGAATTCGTCGAGCAATGCCTTTGGCCAGTCTCAGTTCTCCCTCTCAAGTCTCAACCACCGTCTCAGGTCCCACTTTGCCCAGGTCTCGCCCGCTGGCCCCTCACCTGAAGCCAGTCGAAGGTGCAGCTGGGCGCATTCTCCAGGTGGAAGCGGGTGAAGGTGACGTTGATGACCTTGCCGTGCGGCGCGCGCAGCAGCCACCCACAGTCCGTGTTGTGGGTGTAGATGGCACCCGTGTGGGGGAACGTTATCGCCCCAGGCGAGCCCAGCACCCCGCCGCAGGCTGACGGAGAACGGCACATACGCGTCAGTGTTCGGAGCGAGTCCGTGTTCTGTGACTCCTTGGAGGCTGTCTAGTGACCATTCTAACTAATTGCACCTACATCTAGTGTCTACATTAGCTACTTTCTACATAAGGGGTAGCTATGTACAAACGTGATCAAATTAATATTTTACCCTATCCTTAATTAAAACGGAATGCAAAGCCGGACGTTTCTATCAAACATCGAACTGCGTTATCTGTCCGGGTTTAATCAGCCCGGGCGGCCGAGTTACCTTGCTGCCTGGTCTGGCAGACGTTGCCTGTGAAGTCGCCCGTGCAGCTGCAGCTGAAGGAGCCCACCGTGTTGGTGCACGTGCCGCCGTTCTGACACGGGCTGGCGACGCACTCGTCTATGTCGGCCTCACAGCGCAGACCTGACGGCACGGTGGGCCCGTCATTGACTTTCACAGTGAAGTGGTTACAGGGGGTCATCACGGTGGGTCCTTCACGAACGGTCACAGCAGCACCGCTCTTGACGTCACCGGTCACAGTAGCGCTATCACATGCATCCCCCACTCATTACCCGCTGGATATCCCCATCCCAAGTAACTTGTGCTGAAACGTTACGCTGCTGCGAATCCCCATATTCCCGTGTACTTCACCCACTTAGTATAGCGCCGCCCGCTTACCCGTGTATCCAGCTGGGCAGCTGCAGGTGAAGCCCCGGCCGGCGGCGCCGTCCGTGCACGTGCCGCGCACACACGGCCGGCTGGCGCACGTGATGCCAGCGCTACCGGCCATCTGATAGCAGCCGGCCGGACCGACTCCGGAGCCCGAGTAGCCGGCTGGACACGTGCACTGCACGTGACTGCTGGAGATGGCTGCCGGAGGACGGATCGGTCACAATGACCGGAAAATGTAATTTCGCATTTCTTATCTGATACCAATTTGCATCGCATATTTGTCTGCAGGGGAATTTATCATTATGTGTACATTTTCGGTGTGTAACGTATAGCCGTTGCTCTTTACAAATTTGAGATGTGCTAAGGTTTTGACTTGATTATGCCATATTAAATAACTGACCTGGGTTGTGGTAGCAGGTGGCCAGCGGGTGACAGCCGCCGTTATTGACGCTGCACAGTCCCCCGGAGGCCAGCTGACAGTACTGACCGTTACCCTGGTAACCGGGTGGGCAGGGCCCGCACCGACGGCCGCCCTGACGCACAAATCATGTAACGACGTTAGAAGGGTTAGGATGTCATACGACATTGACGCGGTGCACTTCAAGCAGGAGTTTGACGTCGCGAGAAAGTAAGCACTTTGACATGTTGTAATTTCAATTTGCGACTTCAATTTGTTGACGTTTTTTAGCTTGCTTTTAAGTATCCCTCATTACATTGACATTTTGTCGTGGTAAGAGTGGTCCGTATGTAATAATGTATACATGCAGCTATAGACGGCGCGGCTCACCCTGGTGTTGATGCAGTCCACCATGGGGTTCATGCTGCAGCCACCATTCATCTGCAGACACTCGTCAATATCGGTGCAGTAGAAACCGTTCCCGATGTATCCTGCAACAGACAATACCCAATGCACCCTGTAACAGGCGAACAGTCTCACCGTCCAACACTCGGCCATAGTTGACAGTCTGTGACAAGAAGTGAAAGTTTTAGTGAGGGAAACTGCCCTTCGGGGCGGCCACGTCTCACTGATCTGGGACAGACCTGAGAGACGGTTGCATCCCACTGACCAGCGTTACATTTACATTTTACATCCTGCACTGACCTGCGGGACAGTTTCCGCAGCGGAAGGAGCCCGGGGTGTTGATGCAGGGCACCGGCGGGTCGTGGGAGCACGCCGGTCGGCTGGCCTGGCACTCGTCCACGTCCTCAGAACAGGGAGCGCTGGGGTCGGCGCCCGCCGGCTGCTTCCAGCCCTGCCAAAGAAAAAAAAACGACTCCCTGTAGATGGAATGTACGGCCTCGTCTAAAACTTAGCATATTTAGGTAGGTACCCGAAACGATTGACCAATATCGAAATGTAGTGGTCTGTGCCGAAAACTATAAATTCCGACTGATGTTTGCGAGGGTATGTGTAAATACCTGCGTGGGTATGTGAATACCTGCTGGCAGATGCACTTGTGTCCGTCAGCCTGGTTGACGCAGGTGCCGTGTCCGCACAGTTGCCATTCGTTGGAGCGCGTGCAGTTGCCGGTCCGTTCCGTGCAGTCGGTGCCGTACCAGCCGGACGTGCACTGACAACTGTCTCCGCGGGAGAGGGAAGGAGAGAGAGAGAGAGAGAGAGAGAGAGAGAGAGAGAGAGAGAGAGAGAGAGAGAGAGAGAGAGAGAGAGAGAGAGAGAGAGAGAGAGAGAGAGAGAGAGAGAGAGAGAGAGAGAGCGAGAGCGAGAGCGAGAGCGAGAGCGAGAGCGAGAGCGAGAGAGAGAGCGAGAGAGAGAGAGAGAGATGTGAGCGTTCTTTGCGTTGATTTTGGCTTAACAGCAGTACTATAGCTATATGAAGATGATGTTCTCAAACGGACCTGTTCAACTACCCATTTTCACTTTGCCGCATCGCTAGGAAGGCTGGCCACTCGGAAAGTTGCTGGTGCTACGCAGGCTAAAGCCCTGTGTTATGGAAAACTTTTTTCGGCCTTATATTATACAACATACATTATCATCACTGCATGCTCGCATGTTCACAAGTTGACTTATTCGTGCACTCTGCTGTATCAATCTCGAGCAATCCGCACGGTAAAACCCACACCCCTGCCGGACCGTACCTGTAGCCTCCGGCCGTGTTGGTGCACGTGGCGCCGTTCTGACAGCCCAGATCCGTACCGGCCAGTTGCGTGCACTCGTTCACATCCAGCTCACAGTTCGAGCCCTGTAAACGGTAATTCAATGACGGCTGGATGCTGGCCCGATACATATGTATTATGTACATTAAATAGACAGTCAAATCTCTGCGTACATTATATTTTTTATTGCTTGTTATGTGAGTAATTGACCTCGCATTGTGAATGAACATTGCATTGGCGGTCGTGAATGTTTTTACCTTTCCACCTTTATATTTAATTTAGGCATATAACACACTTCTTTATATTTGATTGTTTTTTCATCACTTTTTGTATCGCAAGAGCGACGACTAACGGCACAAGCTTTCACATGCATGCAGTCGGTAATATGTGCCATTCAGTTCTGAGTTCGGCCGTGCGTATAACTACCTGCCAGTTGGGCGGACAGCGGCACTGGTAGCCTCCGTAGCGGTCCACGCATGTGCCGCCGTGTTGGCACGGGTTACTAGCACACTCGTCAGTCTGAAGCTGCTGCTCCATCTGCCGTACAGTCTGCTCCAGACGAGACACCTGCACGAGACAGCGGGCTCTTGGTCACATCAACGAAACCGAGGACAGACTCTAATTACTGAACAATACCTATGCAACTGTAACACGGCTTCCCAACAGGACTAGATAAGAAAGTAGCTCGTTTTGAATTCTGCATTGGATGCATTATCCTCTTGTTAATTTTGGTAGACATATCAGATATTATTACGCCGCGATATCACCATATTACACCATATTACACCATGTACAGTGACGGGATATGACCCGTTACTGCTCCGCGCCACTGACCCTGGCTGCGAGTGATCCGGGCAGGATGGGTTGCTGCGTGGCGGCTGTGTCTGAGCCGTGCATCTGCTGCACGGCCTGTTCAAGCTGCTCCAGACGCAGCTGCAGGTTCGCCGGGAGGCTGCCGCCGCTCCAGCCGCCGCCGCCGCCGCCGCCTGCCAGCTGCAGGCTGCGGTACGTCTGCTCCCGGGGCGGGGTGGGCGAAATGGCAGGGATGGTGAACGTCCACAGTAACGTTCAACAAATACGTACTTGTCGACACAACTCTGTGCAAAGGCGGCTGACATGGCGCATTTTTTAACCCTCGCCGGCACAGCGCAAATTAGCTGTTATACAAAAAATCGACGCCTAAAAATTGCAGATATTTCGGTAGCTCTCTTTCAAAATATCGGCATTATGCAAAACTAAGCCTAGCCACTGTTTTCCTTTTAGTTGAAAGCAGCGAATAAAAAAATTCACTTCGTGTGTGAATCTGAGCGGCTCCCGGTGTGGCCTGCCTCGTACCCTGTCGACGAGCTCGTTGAGGTCGACCTGGTTGAGGTTGATCCGGCCGGAGCCGGAGGTGACGATGCTGACGTTCCGGTGCAGTGCCGGACGGATCTCCAGGTGACCGTCCCGGCTGATCAGCCGCGGCCTGCCCAGCCACACAGAGACTCGCGGTGGTGAAACAGGTTCTTTCGCCCAGGCACCATGGCAAGCAACGCTAATACATTTGAAGTTAATTAGCACGAGCGTCAGCTAGAATTTATTGGTTTGAATATAATGACCATTATATTCAATTCTAGGACACCGTTTGATCGTTTCGTCCACCTAAAGACGTTCGTCAAGCCACCCAGCCATCGCATTGGTCTAAGCTGGACGGTAGGTACCACCTAATAGTTGATTGACTGTCACCCATTCGTGTTAACATGAAAAATGGCGTATTTCCCATAAGTTCGAAATCAGATTGAGGTGAACTGAATATGGGATACTTACTGATTGATGTATGGGTCTTGGCATGTCGATGTCGCCATAAGTACGTAGAAGACCAACAGCTTGGTTGCAATCCCCATCCTGCCAAGGAACGGAAATGAAGCGGTGTTTTATAAAATCAGCATGATCCTCCACCTAAGCCAGTGTTTCTAATTGGTCTAAATGCTTTGAGCGAAAGTTATTAGTGTTGCCAAGGCTCTAAACTAACGTTGAATGGACAGATACTATTTGATATTGCATGAAAAGCACGGCTTCTCATAGACTTCATATTGTTTATAAACGGTTATCCTACAGGGTGTCCAGAAAAAACGGATACTATTATTTTTTGCTGTAATTCCGAAAATAAACACCTTACATTTTAAAATGGCACATGCTTGTATTCGCAAAAATATGGCAAAACAGACAGCAGGTGCCACATGGCATGTAAACTCTTTGGTTAGTCGCGGCAGCTCCTCAAAGCAGATACTCAATGTGAGCGGCCTTATGGCGGATCAGCTCCAGCACTAGCACAGTCTGCAGGTGACTGATGGTCATGTTGACTATCTCGGAGGGCAGGCAGACAACTTTCCAACGACGCATTACAGTGCTCATGAGTTTTGCCAAATCTTGCACTATAAGCACATGAAGTTGAAACAAAATCGGCTCGTGCGTTAATGAATGCGACTTAATTTCCGTAGTATCTTTTTTTCTGGACACCGTGACGTTAAAGTCAAATGAACTACTTTTTAAAGGTCAATAAGCATAGGTCTGGGAATTAAGCCTATCAAACTTAAAGCCTATCAACTTTACAAATGCTTAATGACATTTTTTTAGATCTTCGAGCCAAACACATTCAAGTCATCATTTACCCAGTACTTAAAACGATGCTTATCATTGATCGGCGTTCAATAGAGAACACTAGGGTTACCCGCGTGCTCCGCAACGCGAAGGAGGGTTATTTCTGACCCGTGGGTATTGGGTTGGTCTGTGTCGATTTGGTTGGTGTCCATTTCGTTCGATTGCTTTTTGACGGCCAAGCATTTTGTAATAAAACAAAAAAGGATACATCGCATCGAGGTGCCCGTGTCGTATTATCATGCGTTCTGCTATAGAATGATTCGAAACTGGTGTGAAGTCTTTTGAGGGCCATCGAGGAATTTCGCTAAAAATGACAATGTAATGGTTTGGAACATTTACATTTTTAAGAATACTGCTGCTCATCATGCAAAAACAAAGATTGAACCTTGGACAGAATTGAAGGCTCTTTCCAACTGTACCATTTTCAATTGCCAAACGTATCAGGTTATGCAGCAAAACCCGTGTGAATAATAAAGTTGCACATAATCGACAAACACCATTTTCTCCAGCGATTTGTAAAACCTTGGCGTCGATCAATTAGCTATTCACAATTTTCCCATGAGAGGCGGTACATTTCTCTTGCCAACAGGCGTCGTTCCAACTCGCTCCGTTTAACAGTCACCTAAAAATTAAATTAATCCCAAAATCCGTCAAAAAACGCAATTTTTCCGACAAAAGTGCCCTCCACGGTGCACGTGGCGCGTGCCATCCCCTGCATCGCACACCATTCGATAGCCCTTTCAATTATCTACACGATGCTGTTTTCCCCGTGCCGGTCGGACCCCTGGTCACCAAGATATTGCACCGGGACCGGACCCGTGTCGGGCAAATTTGGCTGTTTTCGCCCGAATTCGCACGCCGATTTATACATGTTAAGTCTATGACGCGAATTTGCACTTTTTGGGCACGCGCCACGCGCTCCCTATCAATCCGATCGAGCTGAGACCCCTCAAAGGCACGTCGCGCATCCTTGATCTATAAGTTGTGCAAATTTCACCGCGCTAAGTGCAACGGTCTGGCCTGTAGTCCACGCAAAGCACGACCAAGTCGGGACCTCGGTAACGGACAGACGCACCCTCCTCAAATAGTAATATAGATTTTGCATTATCAAGTGACGTGAAAATAATGCGTTAAACTTAGCCGAGGATGAGAGGAGGCGATGCGGACCGCGTGTCTGTGGTACACTTCCGATGTCTGCAGTTGACCAGCATATAGTGCGTTAGTGCCTGTCCGTTTTTGGGTAACAGACGGTTTTCGGAGGCGACATGCGCTGGTGTGCCTGTCACCTGGTTTCTCGAATATGTATAACGTAAAGTTTCCTGCTACTTTTTTACTTTAGGAAGGCTGTTTTAGCGCCGATTTATCATTAACGCTCATTTTGTGCTTACCCTTGTGCTTTTTGTATTTGCCAACTCGGTCACCCTGCCGATCGTCGGTCACCCTTCTTTTTTCTCCCGAGTTTTAGGTACGAGTGCCCTGCGATTGCCTATGATTACCGAAGTAAAAAAGTTTATTTTCTATCGAATTTATTATGCTACGGCTGTAGCTTATGGTATTAATAGTTGCATTACCTATATGTCGTATCAGTTGCATAGTTGTTGCAATTTATAATTGAAAAATTATCTCCTTTGGTGCCTTTTTCAAAATCAAAATTACAAAACTCTTAGGAACAATAAAAGCGTCTCTTGTTAATTCGCCACGTCTCCTTACTCTCGCTGCTGTAACGTGCCGACGGCCAAGATCTGACCTGACCCGATGTGATATCCGTTTTCCGGCCGCGGGTGCGGTCGGGGCCCCTTTGTTGCTTTGACCTGATGATGGTTCTGACCTGACCTGTAGTCCGTTTGCCGGCAACCGGCACGGTCGTCCCACCCCTTTCCTGTCGTGACCTGCCCTGACCTGACCTGATGTCCGTTTCCTGGCCTTGGATGCGGTCGGCCCACTTTGCTGCCATGACCTAATAATTGTTCTGACCTGACCTGTATCCGTTTCGGGCCGCCGTCGGTGTGGTCATCCCTCGCCTTTCCTGCCGTGACCTGTCCTGACCTGACCTGTAGTCTGTTTCCCGGCCGCGGGTGCGGTCGGTTCCCTCAGGGAGTCTCGCTGTGTGCTCAGTCCAGGTGATCTGATCACGGCCGTCGGTCGCTGCCGTCGGTGTGCCCGCGGACACCAGCGGAGCACGGGCCGACTCTGACCGGCGCTGCGGGCCTGGAGCGCCGCGGGCGGTCCGCCGTGTGAGCCCGGCACGGCGCCGGCCGGCACCGGGGGGCGTCACCGGCGTCCGACCGACACCTGAGCTGCCCCCAGTCCACCCACACATACACACAGCGGCGCGACACGGTGGGAGTAGCCGGCCGCGGCGACCTGCGCACCGACCCGGTTATGTAACCGGCGCAGTGGAGCATGGGGCTAGGACGGTACTTTTTCAATCACGGAACAAACCGACGAGAGTTCAGCACCTTGGTATTGAAATTTCTTATCAATTGAATTTTGAAATACACAACTTAGCTCTTGATAATATCAAAAGCTAATGTAGAATATCCAAGACAGTTAGGATAAATGATAACAATAACACGGCAAATGTATATTTAAACACACAAAGCTTTCGGTATGAAAATACCCTCATCACTGTGTTAAACAGAAATTAGAAATGAGGACAGTAATTGTAATTTCTGTTTAACACAGTGATCAGGGTATTTTCATACCGGAAGCTTCGTGTGTTTAAATATACATTTGGCGTGTTATTGTTATAATTTATCAAAAGCTTAGATGTAAACAGGTTACCTCTCGCGCTACCTGTTTAAATGAATTATCAATTTGCCGTTTATTTAGGAATATTTTTGCTGAATGGCCAGTTATTAGGTATTCATAAATACTTCTGCCTAACTGTAGGTAAACTGTACGATAAAAATTGACCTTTTCCATCCTGCGTGTTAACCTTTCCATCCCCAGGATAGTTAACGAAATCATTCTTTTCCATACCTAGAACGTCGTGTTCCGGGCTGGACGTTTAACTTTATGCCACATGGATAGCTCCTCCACAAGAGCAGGCCGGGTGCGGTGACTGCTAGCGGGTTATGCGGGGCTGGGGGGCCTGTCCACGTGATGGAGATGGGCTCAGCCCCGTTGGGTCACGAAGGCGTCCGCCCAGACCAATGTCACCCCTAACTCTTATCATCCCTCCGGCTCTGCAATGGTCTCGTCATAGCGAAAAGAGCCTTACGCAGCAAAGCAAACAAAAACAAACAAACGTTCTCCCAGTTCATCCGGAATTCAAATTATCCTCTAGACACCTACCTATTGACATAATAATTGTGCCAAAATGAAAGGGGGCACGGTGCCCCGGTGCCCTCGCCGTTCCGCCGCCTATGCTATGACTTCATAAGTGAACCTCTGCACAGTCTTCAGATGTCGCAACTTCGCAACGTCCTCACTGCCAGAGGAGCTTTCACAGTAAAATGAAACTTGTAGGACCTAGTATCCATTAGGAGTCTCACAACTTGTATATCTCGGATTTTCCCTAAAGGTCATATGAGGTCCGGGCATTTTCGTGACCTCACCATTACCTACCTACCTATACCTATTAAGTCAATGGGGAAAAAATGAAAACTGCTATCCTGGCGCCAGGAACGATCTCTAACTATCTCAAGCACACATAATCGTGATTTCATGCACTTCTCGCAAGGTTCGATGCGTCACTTTTGCAATGTTGACCTTGCGTGACGTTATTTATGACGTCATTAGACTCATATTAGTTTTTCGTCAATTACTCCCGATCAAATTGAGCTAGCGAGTTGGGAAAGCCACCAATGGACTCAAAAAGGCCTGCCGAATCGAATGCTATGAGACATGACCTCCTTCGACCAATTTCGCGACCTGGGGGCGCTGACCTGACCGTCACCCGAGGTCAACACCCTAAGTTGACCTCACCCAAACAAAAAGTATATCATTCGACGCGCGTGAGCGAAGCGAACACGATGCTGCTTAAATTGCGGCTCTGCGGCCGTTTTTTTGCGAAGTTAGGTATTCACCAAACACGGAACCGTACCTTGGGGCACTTGACCTGACCTCAGAGGTCACCGGTTGACCTAGGACTTTAAAATCGGGTATCAACCTCTGCGTCTCGTAACGAAGCACACGCTCCTTTTTTCGCGACGCGCTAGCTCCACCAGGGGCGAAACGGCGAGGGGGGGTCGTATCCGCTCCCCCCCCCCCCCCCTCGGCCGGCGCGTATGTAGAAAACCAATAGGTCCGGCGAGGGCTAATGCTTTCCTAGCAAGGTTCGACGTTTGACTTTTGCATCGTTGACCTTGCGTGACGCCATTTATGAGTTCACTAAGGCAATAAGAGTTTTTCGTCAATAACTCCCGAATGCCGATCACAGTGAGTTAGCGAGTCGCCGAAAGTCACCAATTGATTCGGGAAGACATGTCGAATCGAATTATATGCTATGTGACCTCTTTTGACCAGCATATTGACCTTATTAGCTCTGGCCTTTACTTTGACCCGAGGTCAACACCAGGGCTGCGGAGTCGATGGATTTTCGGCGACTCCGACTCCGACTCCGACTCCGGCTTTCAAAAACCAGCTCCGACTCCGACTCCGACTCCGGGCAGAATTGTCGACTCCGACCGACTCCAACTCCCGACTCCGACTCCGCAGACCTAGCAGGGCTGCGGAGTCGACAGATTTTCGGTGACTCCGACTCCGACTCCGGCTCGGGTTTCTAAAATCGACTCCGACTCCGACTCCGACTCCGGTCACAACTGTCGACTCCGACCGACTCCGACTCCGCAGCCCTGGTCAACACAGTATGTTGCCTGTTACCCGAACAAAAAGTATACCATTCGACGCGCTTGAGCAAAACAAACACGATAGTGTCAAAGTTGCGACTCTGCGACCATTTTTTTTTTGCATAGGCGGCGGAACGGGGAGGGTACCGGGGCACCGTGCCCCCCTTTGATTTTGGCATTTTAACATTAGCCCTATGGGCGTTGCATGGAAAGAATGGGAACATAAGTCGGCAGTGCCTCCCCCCCCTTAATTGAAGGTGTTCCGCCGCTACTGATTTTTTGGAAGCTATTGACACAGTAGGGGAAACCGGGGGAAGCCCGGCATAGTAAGCTCTTTTTCATTTTTATTACATACCATACGTGCTGTATAAAATGTTGATATCCTGTTAGCTAGCTTCATTGGCCGTATCTTTCCAAAAATTCGGTTTCGTGGAATAAGTATAAGGTTGAGAAAATCGAGTTTTAAAAAAGTGTTGATTTTTCTGGGGTAAGCCCGGCATAGGGGTAACGCCGGCCACCTCCCCAGCGCTTTACAACGAGTTGATGAAACCATTATGTGCCTTCAAAATATTAACGGAAAGTGAAATATTAAGGTACTGATTAGCTCTGGACATCTTAGAGTTTATGTCACTACTGGTATTTTAGCATAGCGTCTACCACATATACAGTACAGGTCGATGAAAATCGTGATGCAAAATTGGCAAAAAAATGTGTATTTCAAAATTCCTTAAAATTTATTTTTCTTTTTACCTTAATGCATCATATTGCATATCATTCGACTCGGCTGATGAAGAAGAACACAACGACACCATTTTTGAAGCTCTAGCTTCATTGTCTGTCGCGTTATCTGCAAAAACGTAGTTTGACCCTAGTTGACCTTAAGTGACATGACTGGCTTTGTCTATGATAACATGTTTATTTTCGAAATTTATCTTTGATCTAGGTGTAAACCAAACCTGCTCAGTACCTATTATCTCATGGAAAACAGTGGTTTAGTGGCATTGCTCTCGGTTTGGGGTAAGCTTGGCCACTCGCCCGGGGTTACCCCAATGTGCTAATTTTTATTTTAGAACAGCGATGTTCGAAAAAATGTCATACTTAAGCCAGCCTGCCTCGTCACCCCTCACTACAAACACTTAAACGGTCCTTACATAACATTCGTATAAATATTAGTACTGTATGGTATAACATTAACAGTGCAACATATCTCACTTTTTAGCTAAAAACCCTTAAAATATCATTTTTGCTCTATAACTTTAACAATATGCAATTTTTGTTAGCCTTAACTTTTTTGCTGGCGTTACCTTAGCTGCCACGCTGAAAGGACAAACAGTTGAGCATTTTATTGTGAATAATTTAGCCGGAAACGGGGTGGCCGGGCTTCCCCCGCGCCCGGGCTTCCCCCGGCTTCCCCTAAAACGAGCTTTTGGGCACTTGGCCTTACCTCAGAGGTCGCCGGTTGACAGAAGACCTTAAACAGGGATACCAATCGCTGCGTCTCGTATAACCAGCGCACACACTCGTTTATTTCGCGAGGCGCTATGTAGCTCAATTACGGGCGAAACTCGCTCTGCGGTTGACGACCCAAAACTGGCACTGATCAAAACGCCAGGCCTGCCCAGTGGCCACCCCCTGCCTGTGCCAGATTTAAGTACGATTTCTGAAGTTTACTCAAGAACCGGGCCTGCTAAAGAGGTAGGTAGTCCTTGTCCTATACCTACTGATACATTCGTACTAATCTTGGCAACAACCGGGCCCAACCGCGGGAACGGGGGGGGGGGGGGGCAGTATGTCCGTGGAGTTAGCGTCAGCAACAGCAACGAATACAGCGACGGATTCAGAATCGCTTGAAAAACTCATATTAGGTCAATTGGGGGACGGGGAGCAAGAATATGACATTTATATGGCCCTAGCTCTTACCCCTTACCCCTTAATCGGCCCTTAAAGGAAGGGGCGCGTCAAAAGTGCCTCAAGGGTTCGTCTGATCGCCAAAATAAGGGTCGCAATCGATTCCTCGGGTCAATATCTAGCCGCAGCCTCGGGTTCCAGATGTGTGCAACTTACCCCTTACCCCTTAATCGGCCCTTAAAGGAAGTTGCGCGTCAAAAGTGCCTCAAGGGCCGATTAAGGGGTAAGGGGTAAGTTGCACACATCTGGAACCCGAGGCTGCGGCTAGATATTGACCCGAGGAATCGATTGCGACCCTTATTTTGGCGATCAGACGAACCCTTGAGGCACTTTTGACGCGCCCTTTCCTTTAAGGGCCGATTAAGGGGTAAGTTGCACACATCTGGAACCCGAGGCTGCGGCTAGATATTGACCCGAGGAATCGATTTCGACCCTTATTTTGGCGATCAGACGAACCCTTGAGGCACTTTTGACGCGCCCCTTCCATTAAGGGCCGA